GATAGATAGATAGATAGATAGATAGATAGATAGATAGATAGATAGATTTGACCACAGACTGTTTGCTAACAGTTCACAGATGCTCAGAGACGAGGCCGGTGGTCCGCTTAAATGACCACTGTGCTCCAGTGCGACATCATTTGCATTTGAACAGATTATATTGAGTGTTTCTTTGCGAAGGTCAAAGGTCAGAGTCAGCGGGGCTCAAGAGGTGGAGAAACCACATTCTGAAGTTAATCTGGACGCGCTCACACCCATCCGTCCATTTTCTGTCCACGCCCGATACAATTCAGGGTCAAGGGGCTGGGGTTTTAGCCAGCTGCCACCACCCGAGAGGCAGGGTCCACCCCGGAAGACTCCCCAGACTCTCACAAGACCAAATAGAAACAAAGAACCACGTAAGCACACTGTACTCTATTTACAATCATCAACTAAGCTTACATGCATGTTTCTGGATGATGGTAGAACCTGTGTGCACAATAAGAACATGACAGTAATTCATAAGCTTATAGTGTTTTTAGTTTTTTACTTTCTGTGAAGTAGATCTGTTCCAATCAATAGTGCAACCTTTTTTTTAAAGAAAGCAAAATCGTTTTTATTTGTTCATAACCCAATCAATATAAAAGCTTGAATTAAATAAAAGAAAAAAAAATAGAGATCATCTTTTTTTGGTTGAAGTCTTTATTTTTCCCTTTAACAAAAAATGGAAAAATACACAAATATTTAGGTAATATTCATTATTTATGAATACAAATAAATGCATCAATAATGAATAATCATAATTTATTATTATTCATTATTCAAATATGATAGACAGTTTGGTATCCCCCCCCCCCTCCAAAAAAAAAGATAAAAATGCATATAAACTGTTGAATGCTTGACAATTATAATTAAAAAAATAAAAAATCCATTCCAGTTTTTTAGTTTTTGTGTAAAGCATTTTCACTTTCCATACAGCTGGAGGGCCCGGAGGCAACAAAGGCCGCAAAGGATGACATGCTTTAGAGAGCCTTAATCAGATTCAAACCACGAGTTAACATGTGTTTCAAAGCACTAAATCTGCAGGATTTGGTGTGACACAACACCACTCCTCGGGGCTGCTATCATCTTAAGGTCATCTGTTGAACTGTTAGAAATCATAAGGTTCAGCTGGGACATCTGATTTCTTCCAGTCAGACACTGGTTTGACTTATGTCACTTTTTCTCCCCTCCCCCCGGCGTGCGTGGCAAAGATTTCCCACCAAACAGGCAGTCCCGCAGTAAAGGGTTGTCTCCATGGACAAAAAGTAGCATTTCCACTCTGTGACGCCACAGATGCACGAGCTGGGACAGAAAGCCGAGCTGGACGGAATTTTCCGTGAGTCCCGTGACACATTAGGAGGAAGTTAGCACAGCGAGATGGTTCCCGATGGTTCCCGGTTCCAATCCTTGGGGGTGTTGGGTACTCCTGCCTCTCCCAACAACTGGTGGAATAGAATCCAGTCCCCCTGTGATCCTGCCTGGGATAAGTTAGTATAGAAGGAAGGATGGATGAATGGATGATGGAAGGAAACATCTCACGTCTGCAGGATTGAAAGACCTGACAAGTCTTTATGACAAAATATCAAAAATCCCTTCAAAATACAGCAAATATTTGCTGACATGGAAATGACCATTCAGGGCCCTGCCCATGAAAACGGTATAATTCCACCAACATAGTGATCCACAACCGAAAAAAGCAGGCAGTTTTTCTTATCAGAGTGCTGCCCTCATTGTTTTTCAGATATAGATTATCAGTACCACCAAAAAAAAGTCATTTTAAAGTGTAAACAGACGATAATATCTCCAACTCGGTTGCAATACATTCTCCAAGTTATCTGCAGACTTTGAGCACTGGCTGATTATCGCGCTCCAATTCCCGCCTCAACACGTGGGGGGGCGGGGGGGGGTGTCTGCTCTTTGTTTTGAAAGTCCAGGCCGGAAGTGGCGCGTCTGCCCCCCTGCAGAATTGACGCGTCGTGGCAGGGTGATGATTTGCTTACTTGGAGCCGGACTGAGTTTGGAGCGGGTACTGTGAAATGTGTAAGCATGATGTTGCCCGGATAATCAGCGGAGGACGTTAGGAGACGGAGGTAAGACCAACCGGGACAGCCGCATCTCTTCTCATCCCTCTTTATTCTCACTCCACCGATTGCGCACCGGTGAACTACTTTTCGGGGTCAGACAATTTTTTTTAAATAATTCATCTATCTGAATAACACCAGTCCGGGTCATATTGTTTTTTTTTTTTTAAACCTATGAAGTCTGGTGACATAAATGTGGATATCCACCCAACTTTGTGCGCAGTCTGATTTCAGATTTTTGGGAGAAACTTGATTCTGGATTCCCCCAGACTGTTTCGGGTCACCTCGAAGATCCATTTTTACACAAATTAGGTCTGTTATTTTCGGAGTGGACGCGGTGCCTCAGACCGTGTTGGTCGGTGAACGGCGGGTTGATTTGTCTCCGGGCGTTTGGATCAGAAAAGGCGGATTTGCGCGCCCGCACCTGATGCGCTCCGATGTTTGCGGCTACTTGAGGATGCCGCCTGTCAGCATCACTCGAGATGCGGCCGAGTGGTCCGACAGCACGGAGCATCACGGAGCTTAATCATTATTCAGACAGGCAAACCTGGTATTTCAGCGTTTGCGTGGGGGGAAAAACGCGCGGCCATACCTGAACCGTGCGTCGTTTTCCAAGCTTTTATAATTTTAGTTTCCCCAACTTACTGAGGCTCCATTGCCTTAAACTAATCACTGACGTGTGCAGCTTAAATGAAGTGATAATCAGTCCTCCGAGGCGTTTGTTAACAGCAGGACCACCTGTTGAGGACGGGGATGTGTATGTGAGTATGTGAGGAGCTTGACAAATTGAACCATCACCTCTCAGTATGCAGACGCTATTGCAGCGACGTGACCGCTCTCAACGAGACTTCAGACTAATCACCTGCTATGGTAACTGCTGCTCTGCCCTTATCGACCTGCTGTCTTCCTTTGATTCTTAATTAAATACATAAACATGGAGGGGCGCGCATCAAACGAACCTCTGAAGATATCATATAGGGTTTATATTTAACAGAAAATCATCCATATTTATATTACGCCTGATGTTTTTTTATTGAATTCTTTTTTTTTTTCCAAATCCCTTTGAGCACAGATAAAAGTGTCCCTTGGAGTGTAATTAACTGCCTTTTACATCACATTGTTGGTCTCTGATGGCCCCTCTGTCATCTTTCCTCCACCCAGACCTCAGAGACACGACCAGCTGAAGCCGAGCGCAGCATTCAGGTCAGCCCCACCTCATGCGTGGGCTCAGTCGACGCCGGAGTGGAAACGGGTCTGACAAACATGGGTGTGCTCCAGCTCAACAACCCCACTCACTCCTGCACGCTCCTGCAGCGAGCCAATCAGATGCGCCTGACCGGCACCCTGTGCGACGTGATCATCACGGTGGACGGCCAGGAGTTCCCGGCGCACCGCACCGTCCTGGCCTGCACCAGCAAGATGTTTGAGATCCTCTTCCACCGCAGCAGCCTGCGCTACGCCCTGGACTTCCTGTCCCCCAAGACCTTCCAGCAGATCCTCGAGTACGCCTACACCGCCTCGCTGCAGGCCGCCGCCGAGGACCTGGACGACCTGCTGTACGCCGCCGAGATCCTGGAGATCGAGTACCTGGAGGAGCAGTGCCTGAAGGTGCTGGAGACCATCCAGGCGGAGGAGAGCGAGGAGGCGGCGGTGAGGAGCCAGGGCCCCGGGGACCACGGCGACCACGGCCGGGCCCGCCACTGGAGGCACATGCTGATGTCCAAGAAGCATTCCGCGCAGGCCGGAGCCAACCGCTCGGCCCCCAGCGCCCTGCACCACCTGGCTCTGTACCACGTGACGGACAGGAGCTCGCCCGGCCCCGAGCCGGACCCCAAGATGGACGCCGAGGCCGACGCGGAGAGCTCCCGGCACCCCGGCGCCAACGCCTCCGGGGACCCGGCCCCGAACCTGGCCAGGAGCATCAAGTCGGAGCGCATGCAGGTGGACGACGGCGACGGCTACGAGGGCCGCTCGTCCAGCGCCGGGGAGGGCAGCTGCGCGTCCGAGCAGCTGCGGGACGAGGGCCCGGGCACGCCGCTGAGGGGCAGCGTGATCACCAGCGCCCGGGAGCTGAGCACGGGCCCCGAGGACGCGGGGCCGGCGGCGGGGAGCGCCCTGGACTGCTTCCCCGGGATCGCCGACAAACACCTGGCCTCGCTCTACTCGGCGGCCTCCAACCACGCCGGGGAGGGCCTGCCGGGGGCGGTGTCGGTGACCCCCTCCCTGAGCGTGCCCCTGGACCCCAGGGCCTACGGCGGCCTGCTGCACCAAGGCCTGCTGCACAGGGAGCTCCTGAGCAGGCTGGGCCAGTTCGCAGCTGGGATCAAGCACGAGGGCCAGACTCAAGGCCAGCTGTGTTGTGGCGAGTGCGGCCTTCAGCTGCACAGCAGGCCGGCCCTAGAGCAGCACAGGTAACGCTCCCTCTGTCCACCCATTCCATGGGTGTGTCTTTGTCACATAAGACGGAAAAAAAAACACTGATCTGGATGCTAATTATAAAAAAAGAAATATTAAAGTTTTACTATATGTTTAATCTTTTTTTTTTTACTTTCAAAGTTGCAAAATGTCAACTGAAAGATGGATTAGAAGTACGTGAGGGTGAATATGTGATAAAATGTTGATCATTTCCCATCGATTTTATTTAAAATGTTTGTTTGTTATACTTATTTTTCTCTAATGATGTCTAAATACCTAAACAGAAAACTCTCAGGGACACCCGCCCTGTGTGACGTGTGTGAAACTTTTGAATTAGGCCTTTGTGTTGGGCTTGATATAAAGAGGCCTTGATGTGGCGTAACGCCGTGATTTACAACGCGCTGTTTTTTAAAAAATTCCGTTTGATCACTCGCGCAGACGTGTGCCTCACAAACCAGACTGCCTCTCAGGCTATTTGATATGCATTCCTTTGCATGGGCAGAGAGAAAGCCTCTCAGCGGGGACCGGCTGGATGCCTCAACAGCATGATGGATAACTTCTGTCTCACGACTTGCTCTGTTGTTGTTGTTCCTTTTTTTGTTTTATTTATGAGCTCATCATTTTTTACCGTGTCACTCCGCACAAAAAAAACCTCCCCTCTATTGCCACCAACAGCTCATTAAGTGGATTACTGATGCTGGTAATTGTTCGTGCTCGGTGCTTTTTGATTCTCCACTAATCAATGGAAACACGTCCTAATATGCTCCTTAACAGTGTTTAGGATGGCAGCCGCTCCCCTGCATAAAATAAAGATAAATCAATGATGCTGCCGGATATTAGGGATGTGCGCGCCTCGCTCAGGGAGGTAAAGGGACATCGGCAGGTGAGGGAGCTGGTCTGCAGGCTGGCATTTCCCAACACTATTCATCAGGAAAACAGGGCAGTAAAGCAAATCATACGTTAAGAATGCAGGAAAAAAATAACAACTCTGCCATTGGAATTTTAAACATTTATCGGGTGATACACATTTTTTTTAATTTTTTTTTAAATTTTTAAATTTTTTTAATTTTTTTTAAACATTTATCGGGTAAAACATTTTTTTAATTAATTAATTTTTTTTTTAGTTTTTTTAGTTTTTAATTAATTTTTAAAGTTTCCTAAAGCATCTGATGAATAAATCTAAAGGGATCGATTAAATGCAACATTTGTAACGACACACTCGTATTTCATCATCAGTCACTCACATGTCTGAGGTCACTGGAACACATCATAATGGTGAGAAAACCTCCTCAGACATCACAAGACGCAAATCAAAAACTATTCTAAAGTAAGACATCATCGTTGAAAGCAGGTCAGGTGAACCTCAAACCTCCTGTGCCGTCCTCGTGGTGCCAATGTGTAAAATCCCATCTCAGGTCTTATTTATTTTAACCATCAAGTGTGTTTAAACCTTTCTAAGGCCATCAGCTCTGCAATCGGGGGGGTGATGTAAGGATAACAGTACAGATGCCTTGCACGCTTGGATGTCTGTGATATGATATGATAGGATTTGCTTCTGGCGGAGCTTCAGCGAATCATCTTCTTTTCATTTCAGTCGTAGTGGATTTGTGTGTGTGTGTGTGTGCATGTTCCGCTCGGATGTGAGCGTGCGCTCAGGCTGTTGGTGTAAGTGTGTGTAGGTCTCCAGTGTCTTGCAGTGCTTGCGGGTGGAGGCACGCGTATGTCTGCACTCTGAAATTAGCCAGATATCCCATTGTCTGTGCTCTCTTAGCATTCATGCGTTGTGATTCACAACTCCAAGGGCCTCTTACACTAATGATGTTGCATTCAGCGAGGGATTCTTGCTGGAATTAAAACATGCTTCCCTTGTTATGAGGACAATGATGCTTCCAGGTTGGGGAGGCCTTGAATAAAAAAAAGGCACAGAAACGGGACGCTACGCCGTCGGGCTAATTCCCGTTTACCGCCATTTTTTTTTCTTCTGTTGATCAGCGAGCGCCATCCCCCATCCAAATAAATGAACCGATCACAACACCCTCACTTTTGTGTTTTTGTCTGTTCACAGGAGGCTGCATAACGAAGAGAAGGGCAACGGCTGTGAATACTGTGGCAAACACTTCCAGGACAGCATGCGTCTCAGGATGCACATGCTGTCTCACACAGGTATTTAGGAGCTGCCACACACTCCTCTCTCAGTGTTCAGGGCTGATCAACACACTTGATACAGTAGTGCGGCCTTTCAAATGCACCTGTTCGCCCCCCCCCCCCCCCCCCCCCCCCCCCGCTCGCCCCACAGCAGTTAGTGCTGCTCCGAATACTTGGATCATGCTTTCTTTTCCACGCTTACACATCCCTCCCCTCTCCTCTCCTCTCCGTCTCTCCGTGTGAATCGTTTCTGTGTTTTTTTTTGGGAGAGTCTGGCAGCTCGCCAGCTCTGCCCCTTCTGAGTGATGACATCATCAGCTGCCGGCAGGCCTGGGTGTTCTGCCAGTGTTCCGAAGCGTGTGTGATGGCTCTCTCGCAGATGTGTGTCCAGGAACACACTGTACCCAAATGCAGACTTAATCAGACCTGACTGCTCTCCCAGCTACTTTATCCAAAATAGAGGAAGAGGGGGAGAAGGAGGGAGGGGAGGGGGGGGGGGGGGGGGGGGGGGGGGGGGAATCAGGGACTAAAAATGAAACTAAAACAGAAACCTCAGTTTGAATATGTGTACAGACAAGGCGCAGCCCCTGTCCTCTCTGCCTTCTTCTCCGAGGAATGTTCAGGAATGACATTCTGCTTACAGATGACAGAGAAAAACTGCCTGCTTTAAACTTCACCTGAGTCTTCCCTTTATCCTCCTCTATAGCCTCCGCATAACCCTAAACACACATGTTGTTTCGCATCACTCTCAGACCTCCACGGCATGCTTTGATTTTCAATTCGCAGTGACACATCCACAACAGCACAGCCGCTAAATGAATTTAAATTTTTTGCATAAACCCACCCCCCCACCCCCCCCGCCCCTATCCCAAGTGTCAACCTATAATACTACAAAAAAGATGCGGATCTCATTTCTTTGTCACTGTGTATTTCGGTATAGCAGCCTTAGATCCCGCTGGTTGCTAAGGAGCGAGTGCTCCACCGCTCTAATGGGCTGATTTGGTATTCAGCTCGATGCTGGCTCTTATTTTGGTATGCCAGACAAAGTGTTTTGATGGAGGACGATTGCAGCCGCGTCTGGAGACAGTTTGATGGTTTATGGATGAGAGCACACTCCGTGCCTTTGACTGCACAAGACAATGCACTATGTTCTCCTCTTCCCTTATCACACAATCTCGCACAACACGGCGCGGCGCGGCGCACTGGACAGCGTCAAACAACATCAGGATGCACAACACTGTTTCCCTGTTGCTGCCACGCAAGAACCCCTCGCTGCCAAGTTTTTTTTTTTTGGGGTATTTTTTTTGCTCCGTGGAACAAAACGCGTCGCTCCGAAACAGTAACGGTTTGTTTTTTAGAAAAAGTGTTGTTTTTAGAAATGGAACAGATTGGGGTTTTTTTTTTCATATTTGCGTGCAGCGCCGTGAACAGTGGCACACTGTGCACAGAGGCATCGTAAGAGTTGAAAGAGGACCACATTTAGGCTGAAGCGCTCAGAGTTCCCAAAGCTTGTGGGTGTTTTAATGAGTCATTTTAACTTCATTTAAAGCCAGCTGAGCAGAAAATAGATCAGTGAATGAGCCCTGGGCCAGTATGGATCTGCAACCGATTTACATCTCAGTGAGAGCCAACCCACATCCAAACAGCTGCATATGAGAGGAAGAGTGTGTGCATATCTGCCCGGTATGTGTGTGTGTGTATATGTGTGTGTGTGTCTGTGCAGGTGTGAGGTGAGAGCAGAACAAAGACTGAACGCCTCTGAAAGCTGTATGCATACTTGTCTCTTTCATGTCTTCGTCAGAATAGACAAGGGCATTCCAAAGGTGACCTGGGAACTGTAGTTACAGTCCATGTGATGGGATTTGGGGTGTTGACTGAGGGATTTTTTTTTTTTTTTTTTTTTTGATAAAGGGATGTGCTGCAGGCGGGAAGTGTCTGCTGTTCAGAGAACACCCAGTCCTTCTGTGGCCTCTTAGGCAGACAGTCTGTTCACTGTTCAGAGACAGATAACAGGCCACGGTAAATAAAACTCTTCAGCGCTGCTCTTTTTTTTGTCTAGAAGAAAGGCCACTGCACCCCGTCTGCAGCTTTTGTTTGGCCCCAGTTGTGTTTTTTATGGTGCTTTCTTCTACTCCATTGTACTCCACACGCTTTTTTCCTTGTGTTAACACCTGAGGAGCATAAGTCTGCGACAAGCGGGGCTCCCTCGTCGCTTTGCCCGCCATTCCCCCCCTTTAAACGAAGTAGATTTGCTCAACACTCGCACTCATGTTTGTGTTTGTGTGCTGGAGATGCATTCTGATGAGTTTGATGTCGTCCACAGCTCCTGCAGAGGCGCTGGTGTGCGATCAGTGTGGCGCGACGTTCTCCTCAGAGGATGCTCTGGAGGCCCACAGGCAAACACACACAGGTACTTAACAAACATGTGCAGATGCCCCAACTCTGCACTCACACACACACACACACACACACACGTACACACACATTTATGTTGAACCCGGACAGCATGCACCGAGCTGTTGAGTAAGCCGTGACTACGAGACTTGTGATCATGTGTATAAAACTTGCTTGTCATGCTGGCTGGGTTAAACTGTTCCTGTCATGATGCTCCATAATTTATCAACAGGGAGGTGGGAGGCCCTCTCACATATCACCCGCTAATATTTCCTGGCATCCAGAGCCCACTGCATGCCACTTCGCCGCAGCTTTAAAGCGCCAGCGTTACAGTTCCACAGGCATACTATTCTCACCTCCCTCATGACAGTGGCTGTGAGATTATTTACCTTCCACTAATCAGCAACACCTTAGTGTTTTCAATGATAGCAAATCAGGAAGAAGCGTATATGAAAACCCTTTCACATCCAGCGAGTGTGTGACATTAACAGTTGGCACTGAGATGAGTCAAAATATTTCTCTTTATTTTTCCGTCTCTGTAGTTATGGTATTTTTGGCTGAGTGGCTGCGCAAAAAACCTGGATTTGCAATCTGGGATCTTAAGAGTTCGGAACAACCGGCTCAAGCAGCTGAAGTCGTTATGAAAGTTTAAAAATCATTTGCAGACAGACGAAACGGGCGAAAGAGAAGTGCTGATGAACGGGGAAGAAAACCAAGAAAAAGCTAAAAAGAATGTGCTTTCAAAAAGAACATTTCTTTCCTCAAGATGAATTTCATTAAGGACAGGCCCTGAAAAAAGGCTCTTCAGCTGTCAGCTGTAAATTTATGCCTTCAGTCGAAAACTTTGGCTTGTGTTTGTGGTGTATTACATGTGTGGGAATGTGCTGTGTTGTTGTCAGGCGGTACATATGCCCCACAGTGTCTGAATCCACACCTTTTCTGGTACTGTCAGAGAAAGGTGATAACCCTCTCAGGAGCATTGGCACGTAACTGTAACTGCAGGTGGCACACGCAGTATGAATAGTTAATAGATGTGGACATAGAGGGGTGTTAACGATGCCCAGAAGTTTCTACCCTCAGTTCCCCGAGTTGTAAACACCCCCGCGCTCGGTTTCAGCCTGGCGGTTTTTACCCCGAGCGGGATACAGGAGGGGGGGGGGGGGCATTACTCTCTTATTTTGTCATGATCTCAGCTTGGACGGCTGTGACGCACTCGCAGCTTTCAACGTGAGCTGCAGGTAATTCAATCAGCTCTGCTGAGGTTATGGGGGAAATGAACACAAAAAGGCATTTCAGAAAAAAAAAGGAAAAAACAAACAAAAACAAAACAAAGCAGTTTTTCCTCTGTTTTTCTTAAAACCTCAGGATTTGTCACTGGGTTTCCATGTTGCCTTTTCTTTAATTTACCACGTGACATGTCCAGTGAGCCAAATGAGTTTGCTCTTAGCAGATTAACACTTGTCAGACCTCAGCAGCTGCAACTCGGCTGTCCGCGTCCTCTGGAGGGGAAATAATACTACTTTTTCGGGAGACCTTATCCTGAAACAGATGGGTAATTCTGCTCGCAATGATAGTTTACAGTGAAAGACTCTCTGGTCATTTTGATATGTCAGAGGTGAATGGCCTCGAGTTGATGAAGTTACAGATCAAACAGGAGTGTGTGTGTGTGTGTGTGTGTGTGTGTGTGGGTGGGTGGAGGGTTGGGGGCGGGGAAGGTGGTGGGAAGGGGGAATGGGGGGGGTGAGTATGCGAGGGCTTCCTGAGGGCAGGAGGATTGCTGCTGGTGTTGGATGCCAAGAGTAAGAGGAAAACAACATCATGTGCTGCTGTTTACTCCTCACCACAGCACTGTCATAGTCTGCTCTGACCTACTTGTCAGTGCCCAAAATAAAAGAATGGATCTGTCTCCGAATTGCTCTCACAACAAAGGGGTTTGTTTCATCACAGTGAGTTGAGGCTGTGGGGCACCGAGCTTTCAATTTTTGGAAAACCCAAGACTGTGGCTTATCTACAGTATGCACAGAAACGGAGTGTATATGGTTGAAAACGCGCTGGCAGACCGTTTTGCCACTCTGCCTGTCGGGAAAAGGCCATAAGAGTACTGCCTTTGTGTACTCACAGCAGCTGCACTGTATCCACACATTACAGGCTGCCTCATCAAGTGAATATTACCTTCTGTCCAAACCCTAATTAAAAAGTCCTGTGGTCTATTCAGATACGGCCCCGGCTTGCTAATGCATCGCTCTTAATGCAGACCTTTTAGCTTGCCTAATTGCGCGTCCGTCATCACAGTGCGCCCTCCTGTTAATACCAGCTGTAAGTCTTAAACCGAACAGAACTGAGCTATATTTGGCCATTATGTGGCCACTATTCATTGACACCTACTCTTAAGATACACAAAGCCTAGAGATACCCCTTTTTATTAAGGATAAAATGAATCATGGTATTTTTTTAATAGACTATTGAATTAAAAAAAAGTTCTATGTGTGTGTGTGTAACATCAATGAAACTGACCATGGAATGGTGCTTAAACACGAGCAACGCATCTCTTGTTGCATTAATTATTGAGTCGGTGGTTCGTCACTCGGGTAGATTAGCAGTCCACCGACGAGCGCCCGGGGTTGTTTAAGGTGCTGCAGCCTGGCGCGTGTGTGTGTGTGTGTGTGTGTGCGCGTGCTTTCCGAGCCACGTCTTGGAGAAGCCGTTTGCACTCGCACATACAATAAGCATGAACGCACAGGGTCATGCGGGGGCGGGGGCATTATGTAGCCTGCATGACTGTGTATGTTTAACTGGTCAACACAGAAGCAGCCAGCCGGCCCACTGTGCACACGCCGAGCACGGCCTGAGGACAGAGTTATGGTGCTTTCACACCACACACACACACCGGTAGACATGATCAGAACTGATGTAACACTGTAAACCCAAATCTTTGCAAATTTCTGTTTGGATCTCCGGCTGCAGAAACAGTGAACAGAAACCCTGGAGACACGTATTGAAATAGCACTGGTTTGCTCAGCAGATCCAAAGAGAAATTAATAGCAAACCGATGAGTTTAATTGGTAGACTCTGGACACTGAAGTTAAGATTGGCAAAGAAGAAAATTATACAGATTTGCAGTCATCACTGATTCAAGCTTTTGTTCAATTTGCAGTGGGTTTACTCCCACATTCTCGGGGTGGGAAAACTTTTGTTTGCCCCCTGAAAAGAAACAGGCTGCGCTTATTTGTGAATGAAGGGATTAGCTTGAACACTTCACCCCAACAAGGACCATGATCCTATCTGGTTGCCTAGACACATGGTTTTGTTTCTTAGGCAGCGTGAGAGCCTGGCCGGCTCCCACCTCGGTCGGACTGAATAAGTCGCAGATGTATGAAGACAGACCATGTTGAATCACATGAGCATACACGTTGTCTGAGATATGCTGAAACAGCATTAGAAAAACTCGACCGGGAAGAGTTCCGTGAGATAACGTGCACTGCAAATGCGGAATAGCTTTCAAGTAAATGTTTATTCCCACTGTTAAAAGCTCCCTCCCACTGAACTCAATGCTGAGTCGGCTCTCCGGGCTTTGAGAAAAACCATTGATTACATGGCATTTACCCCACTGAGGGCCAAAGGTCAGGGGGTCGACCTGTGCCTTAAAAAGCCAAATCCCAAGCCCATTGTGTGGTGGGGGGTGAGAAAGAAAAAGGGCAATGACGGCCAACTTTAGAGCTTTTTTCTCATGAAGAAGCTCCTCTGCACTCATTACCTAAAGCTCGCTGAAAAAAACTATGACTGAAAATCCTTTTTGTTTGATAAGTTACCAGAGCACGGTGAGCTGGAATGCCACCACTAACGCATACCAACACGCCTTTGGTTTTTGTTTACACTTCAAGATATTGTTTGGTATTTTTATACTCAGCCTTGGTTGCGCGGAAATAAAACAAGCTGTTGAGCTGCTGTCAGTGTGCGTCAACCTGAGATCAAGAGTGAGATACTTGTGACGGAATACGTGTCATTTCTATTCTCAAGTTTCTGTATTGTTGGTGACAGAAGAATCAGGATCTACATCTGTGAGCGTCTGCGAGTGTGTCAGGGAGTAACGTTTTACCTCCACAGAGAAACTAAACTTTAACAGCAGACAGAGAAAAGTACGGAAGCTGCTCTGGAACAGGCATTAAAGTTATACGGCGGCTGGTAAAGATAACGGAGAAAACAGTTTTAATGTTGCTTTGATGAATGGAGATTATGTGCCTCTCGGTTTGTTTAGTTTCAGAAACATGGTCAGACTTGAACACAGAGCACTCCCCCTGCTGGCCGTAGCCCATATCATGATACACACTGGCCGCAGAACCATTTTCTGCCTCTCAAATCTCTTTAGTCACTTTTAAATGGTTCATTATCCAGCCCTCACTGCTGCCGAGTGAGCTGGCATTAGTTAGGTTTGATTCAGACCGAAAGTGAAGCTGGTTAGGCAGCAAAAGGATTTCCTGTATGGTCAGCAGATGCCAGGAGCAGGGAGGCGTTCACAAAAGCCGGGGCTTTTGTTTACTGCTAAAATATTGTGATGCATGGGTGAGAAAGGGTCTTGGTCATTAGAGCACGGCATAAAGAATGAGACTGTTGGAGTTGCATGAGGAGCCTATGACTAATGTGCTTGGTCAATAAGGGCCTGAACCTTATTGTGTGCCTTTTGTGCCAACGTCTATGGGCTAAAGCCCCCGAACAGGTGCAGTTCATTCCACTAAATCGCCTCCCTGAAGTAGTGTCGAGATCAGAGAATTTTATTTAATCCCGTCTTCCTTTCTGTCAATTATTAGAAATCAGTGTTTTTAGTGGAGGCTTCTTTTTTTAAACCAAGACTCGAAAAGAGATGTTGTGATTCAGAGAGGCTGTGGACGTCTTTGCCAAATTGCAGTTATCTTTGAAAAGTCTAAAAAGATCCCGAGCAAATACTGATGCAGAGATTAGAAAACAACAGTCTGTGAATATGTCTGATTTGCAGCCTGAGAACGTAAGTTTGCTTGATTTGTTTTTTGTTCTTTGAACAGGCTTGTCTGCCTGCTAACTTGATTGAACCTAAAGCAAGTGTCTGACAATCTTCCCTCTTAGTATGAGTGTGCTGTATCCCTTTCCCTGCGTTAATTCCAATTTAATTGCCAGTTGCCTCAAGGCACTTCAATAACAGTAACAAATGATTTGATTTAGTGGACCTCATCAGACTGCATTTTAAATGCGACACAGCAACCCCACTTGAATTCCAATGAAGTGCTGGCACAGTCCTCTGTTTACTAATGATCCTCCGCTGGAGATGTCTGATTGAATCTGAGTCAGGAGCAACGGGACCTGCTCACATTGTAAATGATCTGCAACCTGAGCAGACAGAGAAATAAGGACCTCATAATCTCACATTAAAGCCTCACTCTCCGGGACATGCACATTATGTCAATGCGGCTGATTAACCAGCGCCTCAGTCTCGCCATACATATGAATTTACATCGGTCTGGATGCCAGGACGGATTTGAGCGCTGGCACGCACAGCCTGCGGACCAAGTGTCGACTGTATGACGGCCAATGGATCTTCTTCACATAGCCATTTTGACTTAAACAACCCTGCCAGTGACTTCCTATCTGTATTCCTCCCCACACTCTTTGCAACAGGAAAGCAGCCCCAAAGAGATGCCAGGTCACACACAGGATTAAACTGGATTGTGTTTTTTCCTGCAGTCCTGCCTTTAATGGCTTGATATCACTACTTAACATTCTGCACAGAGCGCGTAGTGTAGGCATCATTTAGGGTGGAGCTACTATCAGCTGCTCTTTGAGCACACAGACAGAGGACTTCACAGGTTGGAGCTGACTCCTGATGGGGAATGAAGAGAATAATTACTCATCTAACACGCTGGAAAGGAGCAATTGATTGTGTGATTGGCAAGCTGTGCGTTGTGTGGGTAAATTTCTTAAAGAAAAACAATCACTTTCATGGTTTAAAATAGAGAGTAGAAAGATTCACAGCTGAAAGTGCCTCGGGGCTTTTAGGGGAGTTAGTTTAGGTAGAGGCACTTGCTCTTTGAAAGAAGCTTTTTTTTCCTCAGAGGACTCGCACAAAGTTGAAGTGACCCAGTTTCCCCACTTAAGGCCCTGTCTGTGCACGGTACTGAAATAACTATGCGTCTGTGTCTCGTGTGATCTCCAGGGACTGACATGGCGGTGTTCTGTCTGCTGTGTGCGAAGCGCTTCCAGACCCAGAAGGCCCTGCAGCAGCACATGGAGGTCCACGCGGGGATGCACAGCTACATCTGCAGCCACTGCGAGCGCCCCTTCCCGAGCCACACCACCCTCAAAAGACACTTGCGCTCGCACACGGGTAAGAGATCGTTCGCAACCATCAGTCCCCTCTGTGGTGTCAGCCCCATGTCACAAAGCATGAACACGCCGGCGTAAAACACATGCATATGCTGAAAAAGACAGCTGCGGTTATTTTCGTATGTGGGTTAATTTCCTCAGGTTATTGGCTATAAGGCCTTAGTCAATTTGCATGCATCCTCTCCCATTCTTCCGTCTCCCCTCTCCATGAGATGACTCATCTCCGATGACAGCACTGTACCTTTATGGCCGGTGAATATTTTAGGCAATTTCATCCTGTTTATATTTTGGGTTCTTAGACAGCCTTTGGGCCTCTGCAATTCATGGCTGTCACTTCTTGTGGGGTTCACCTAAAATGATAGAGGAAACCCAAATAAATATTGAAGGAAAAGCAAATGGAAATGACTTGTCTCTGTGTTCTACCGAGGGGTGAGTCTTAGTGCCGCGGGAGAAGGAGAGATATTTACTGAAAAGATGTCCCCTTTTCTTCTTTTACCTTAAATAACACTCTCAGCTGTCAGGATGGCTTGATGTCTAGACAGGAGAAATACATAATTGATGTGAAGAGACAGAAGTAAAGGGAGTTTCGGCCATGGCAGCGTATCTTGTTTGTTTGCCATTCTGCTTGGAAGTAACATTTTGTAAATGTCATCTGCTCCACAGTGGGGTGGGGGATTGGGGAGAATCGGCCTGTAATGAGGAGAGCAATGTATCGTCTGACTTGGCTGTTGCTGTGGACACTGAGATAATGAGGCACATAGGTCACTGGAGATGAGTCAAACCCTCAGCCTAGGAGAGAAATAGATTAACTACAGTATAGAAAACGGAGCCGCGCATCCCTGGAAGACTTTTATTAGCTATTAGTCGACAGCCGAGAGGAGTGTCCTCGTGTCGTGACATTAGCGGCGTCGGAACGCTGGATAGACATGCTCGGAAAGGCCTGCGCGGCCGTTTGACCTATACGGCTGCATATGCGCCATGCCAAAACACGAGGTTGTCCCGTGATGCTTCTCACAGAGCTGGTCCGCGCTGGTATCGCTGTTGTGACACCGCTGTGCTTTCAGGCGATCACCCGTTCGAGTGCGAGTTCTGCGGGAGCTGTTTCAGAGACGACGGCACGCTGAGGGGCCACAAACGCATCCACACCGGGGAGAAGCCTTACGAGTGCAACGGCTGCGGGAAGAGGTTCAGCCTCAAACACCAGCTGGAGACGCATTACCGCGTCCACACAGGTGAGGGCTCAAAGAGGAGGGAAAACCACTCTGGACATCATCTCAAAGTCAGACACAATGTTTCAGTTCCACCGAACATGTCTCATCTTACGTTGGCCGACAAGAGGGCTTTTTTTGTTGGCTTTAACAAAGGTGTTTTAGAGGTTGACATTTTCTGGAGTACAATTAAAAAGTGTTGACTCATCCTGCAATTGGAGGCCTTCAGAGTTTTCCATTCCACCCCCCTCTTGTTACACTGAAACTTTATAAATAGGAATATTTAGATGGAGCTCCACTCATTATTTAATAGTGAGTTCAACGGTAAAATGTTGCAAAAAGGAGGAGGTTTTGTGATATAAATGTTTCATATTAGAACTCTCAGGCTGCTGTGAAGCCTGTAGATCATTTAAGAGTGGTTAAGTCCCAGTGTTTTGCCTCATGTCATCACCCCACATTCCGATGAACAGTTTTCCATTATTGGGGGGAAAAAGCAAATGTTGTAACATTGTTGAATTCATAAAAAAAAATGATCCTACTAAAAAGTATTGCTAACCCCTATAGATGTCAGTCAGAATATTTCCAAAAGGTACTTTTAACTGGAACACTTTTGATGCAAACCTGGGGACAGAACATCAGACTAAGAACTCATAGTAAAAAGAAAAATGGTTGAAGTTGTTAGGATTTTTTTTATGTGTGACAACTTGTACCCTGTGCTCCGCCCCACATTAATGCTCCGTTGTTAAACTTTTTTTTTCAGGTGAGAAGCCATTTGAGTGTAAGCTGTGCCACCAACGGTCCAGAGACTACTCGGCGATGATCAAGCACCTGCGCACGCACAACGGCGCGTCTCCGTACCAGTGCACCATCTGCCAGGACTTCTGCCCCAGTCTGGCGGCCATGCAGAAGCACATGAAGGGCCACAAGCCCGAGGAGGTGCCCGCCGACTGGAGGATAGAAAAGACTTACCTGTACGTCTGTTACGTCTGAGCAGGCCTTGGACACGCTGTCAGGTTAAAGCAGTGACTTCCATGTTGCTGATTTTAATGCTGAGGTTCCTGTAGGGGTATTAAAAAAAAACTAATTCATGTTGAATAAAGTGGACACTCTAGGAGATACCAAGGCTTTTACTCAACAATGAGACATGAGGGCTTCAACCGATTAGTTTCATTATCAGATCACGTTTCCTCTGAAGAATGTTCCGAAAGTCCGCTCATTTTTGCGAGGACATCTTCAAATGAGTAACACTGTCTGACAAACAGTCCTCCCCCCCCCAAAAGAGAATGATCAGCAATTCTCAAAAAAATTCAAATTCTCACATTTTAAAGAGAAGATGGCGTCACTTTTCCAACCCATAAAAGCTCAATCGATTATCAGAGTCTACTGATATTTTCCGGTGACTGTTATAGCCAAAAGATGATGATCCACTCTGGTGGGAATCCAAACCCCAGTGGAAGTGACCGGCGACCTGCATGTGCTTCAGGAGCGTTTTTGACTGAAGCATCAGCCAAACCGAGTCATCTTCTAAAGATTGTGCAGCATCACGTTGAAAATAATTCCACAAAGGTTCGATTGGCTGACCTTTGCCACCCTTCGCTCCTAATTTCCCGAGACGTCTAAAAAAAATGTCCGTTTTCCTGCTGTTGGGTTTTTTTCTTTTGGAGTTGTTTATTTTTTTGCATGTTTTACTTGAATGGCTGACCTCATGAGCTTGATCTCTTTAATTGCCTCGTCTCTCTTGCGGTGGGTGTTTTTTTTGTTTTCGAGGTAGCTCGCTCACATTTTGAGTTGCTCTCGTAATAGGTCTTGCTATTTATATGTTGTTTATTTGTTACCAAATATGTGCTGGTTTTCATCACACAGTCTGTGTCTCTTGGGATGTTTTTCTAGTAGAGCGAGCTCTACCTCTTCCCACATCTCACTGTTTGAACTCCACTGCAAATTTTTCATCCATCGGTAGGTTTAATTTAGTCACAAACATCACAATTTACATGGTCAAACAGTGTTTAAAAAAAAAAGAAAAAATATGTGACAAGCCTCAACACGGCTTTTAAGTGTAGTTTTTTTAACCACTGCTTCTATATAGATGTCTTATAAAAATCACAGAATCAGAATTTTCTAGGAAAAAAAGAACAACAAGAAAAGAAGTTGTTTTTTTTAACGAAATATTGAGAGAAAATTCTGACATTGAATTACTATGAGCAGGTTATTGTCAGTTGTAGTGTAGCTGTAACGTACAAACTGTCATGGTCTGTGATTCCCATATGTGAGCCTGACACAGGCCTTATAGATTTAAACATGTTGTATTTTTGTATTACGGTAATTTGCTATCTGTTTACATTTGGTATGATTTGAGAAACATCTTTGTGTGTGTTTTATAAGTCTGATTTGATTATGATCCCTCCCTTGTGCCTCTTTTATAAGTAGAGCATTGATGTGCTTGAGTACATGGGTCTGTGATATTGGTAGGTGTTTCTGGGTGTTTGTTTATTGTTACTTAAAGATAGACCGCCATGTAGATTCATTTTGTCTGAACATTGCAACTGGAAGCAACATACTGTGATCGTGGCTGATAATCTGATGCAATTTCCAAGCAATTTTAATGTAATAAGTACACGCTTGTCTAAAGTTGTTCAGTGGACTGACATCGTTGGATGAAAATGGTGTGTATAGAAAATATTGGCGTCAGAGGGCATTAGTAATGCCGTCTTAAGTAGCCAACAACACTCAGTGCCATGAGAACACGCATTCACTGTATCTATTCTACATGAACATGCACTATAAATGGATTTCCTCGGTGGACCAAAAGAAATAGAGCACTTTTGTTTGAAAAGGGGTTTTTTCTTTGATCTTTGTATGTCGTGATAATGCAGCTGTCTTTTATTTGATGTGTCCTAGAAGGATGTGATTAGCATTGTTTAGATTATGTCACTGTCTGTCTACCTCAGGGCCAGATCAAAGCTCGACCTGGTGTCCAATCAGGGTTGTTCTTCTTGCCATGTGTGCAGTAAAATCCCTCTTCATTACAGCTTTGTAACACAGTGCGTGAAAGTGTTTTTCTCAGTGTGGATTCAGGCACAACTCTGTATGCGTCAGTGTTCAGTGGCATGGTTAAAAAAAGAATAAAACAATTTACTATTTTATGCATCCTGCCTCACTTGCCTGCTGTTTTTCGCCGTCTGCATTCAGCCGAGCGGCGGTGCTTCTATTTGATCTGATATCCCCCTACAGGCACTTTATTTTCACCACCTGACATCTTCCTAATGTTAGATAGCAGTTTATTTTAGACCGGCAGTCATTAAACACAATGACAAGTATAAGAGTGAAGTCATCTGCCAATGCTTAGACCAAGGGTATCAAACTCTGCTGCCCTGCAGGTTTTAGACAGTTTCCTGCTTCTACACACCTTACATTGGCTCTCTTCTTAACACACAGGGGCCTGATAATGGCAAATTGATGTGAATCAGGTGTGTCGAAACAGGCAATCCCCTCAAACCTGCAGGAAGGAATTCATTCCAAAAGTTTGATTATTCATTTTTGTCCATTTTTTTAGTTACCATCAATTTTACCAATGGTTTGGGTCATAAAACATAAGAGTCTAAAACAAAACTAAAATTGCATGTATTTTTGTGTAACACAAAGTTAGGCAGAATTATTGTGCAGCATAGTGCAGTGTAAAAAAAAAGCCTGATAAGAAAGACAGAAAGAAAAGAGTCATTGTCCTGGCAAAAAAATATTTACTTTCTCCATATTTAATAGGAAATGATCGGTCAGAGGTTTGTGCTGCGTTACAAACGTGAGCAGATTTCAATCATAAGTTACTAGTGAGAAGTGAACCAGCTTTGTGACTCTAAATAAAGCTGCAGAGCACATTAAACCCAGTGTCACGGGAGTGATACGCGTTTAAGTCAAATCCTTTGTGATTAATGTTCCGTGAGGTCATAAACTTACAGAAAATACTCTGTATATGAAAATAGTCTAGCTCATTCAGGTCATAGAAATACTTCCAGTTTAAGCAGAATAAAACTGGTCACAGCTGGTCCTTCATTTTTTACTTTTTAACACCTCTCACATCCTTTTGGACATCCGTATGAACAAACTGATTCTGTCCCAAAGACATCAGAGGACAATGATTCATACACATCCTAATGATGCTCTGTCTAGGCTTTGCTGTTTAAGTATTGGTTGCTGCTCAGACAGAATCCTCTGTTTTTTATTCTCTTTTCAGCAAGTGAGTTGTGCTTCAGTTTGATTGAAATCTGGTGCCTGAACGAGCTGAGAGATGCTCCAACTCTTCATCCCAAAAAGCTCTTTGGTCCTATTTTTAGCACAGCTGTCGTGTTGAATTTTGTAACGTCATTTTTGATGCATTTCATTCTGAGCTCATCCCGTTCTATCCATCAACAGCGAAGCTAATAATGAAATGAACATTGTGCTGGTTCAACCAGCAGCCATTCCAGGTCAGATATTAACAAACTTCTGAAAGTAAGCACAAAGATTTAGAATTTGTGTACTTTCTTTAATTTGTTTTACTCTTTACTCTTTTCAACCTTCAGAACGCACCACTATACATAATTTTCCAACATTTCGGCTGCTTTTCAGGCATCAAAATCTAAATAAGCATTCAGAAATTAATACAAATGTTACTTTATGCTGTTGCCATGTGTGGTTGTTCAGCTGAAAACAAATGCTGGTTCTCACTTTACTTGCAAGTTATATTTTGATAAAGATTATAGTAAGGGCTGGCTAAGTTGACCCACTCAAACACAATTAACAGGAACTCTTCAATTAGTATTAGTATAATTTGTATTAATTCTTGATTAATTCTTTTTAAAAAACAGAGGCTAAATAAAACTTTAAAAACAACCTGAGACTAAAAACACAATTATTACATTAATCAATCTACATCTGTAGTAATAGCAAACCACTAAACATTGTATTTTTTTCTAATCAGAATCCAAAGTAAGATATTTTGGTTTACAGTGGGTGACTAAAGAATCATCCAGTTTAAAACATTTCCTAAAGGTTTCTAAAGTTCCAATAAAGACCCATTCCACCTTGAAATTAAGAGAACCGTTCTTTCTGTCTATGTGAAAGTTTTTCTGCAGGGCCTACGAAGAAAGGAAAACAGCTAAATTTTCATTTAACCGAATTCCTGACAGGTGGATAAACTCAGATTTATACTTCTATATCTCAGAATATCCCCAAAAATCTTGTGTGAATAGATCATTCTTTGATCTCTTACAGCTTTCTGCACTGTGGCTCTGAACGTGCTCAGGATGGACAGCTGAGCTGAAGAAAGAATGAGTGTGATGTGTTTGTTTCCTCACCAGGGAAACTTTATCAATTGATATTGTATAATTGATATTGTATGGACAACTTCTGGGGTTTTTTGATCAAATTCAGATTGCTGGTAAAGCCCTTTTGACCACTGTCATAGCACAGTGCGCAGCATTATGACACGATACAGCAGTTAATAGGAGAGAATGCACAGTAAAACATTTTTAAAAATAGTTTCTTAAAGAGGAAATGGCAAACAGTGAAATCCAAAGAGTGTAAAATGCAGTTTGAAGCCAGAGAGAAAAGAAGAGGTCGTCAGTTGTGAGGAAAACTCCACAGCTGGTGCCTGAATTCAGAACCAGCTGCAGACTGGCTGCTGCCCAAGTAGTGGCAGTTACACTAATCCAACTTTAAGGGGATTAAGGCTGTGATTACGGTCTCAAGTCATTACAAGACAGGTTGGACTTCAGTTTGGAAATGTTTCTTAACTGTAAAAAGACTAAACAAATACATGTTATTGTTACAATAAATAAGAGGTATAATTAATTTATTTGAAATTATCTAGACTTTTATGCTAAATTAACGCTATTTGAATAAGATTAACTTTTCTAAAGTTCCTTCATATGCATTGGGAAAAAATGGATCCTTTCTAAATACTGTATCTCCATCACCACAGAAGGTCAGAAGCTCCAACATGTTTAAGTCTAGTAAGATGAGGTTTCTTCCTGTCCCTAAAAAGTGCGTAATGCTTTGCATTCCAAAGTGTCTCTGACTTGGTTTCTTCTGGCTCATCTATGACTGCTTTAATCAGTTTTTTACGTAACAGAAAGTACTAGTCCAGTTTATTAGGGATTAATCTATTTTCTCATTTATCTATTTTCCAATTGGGTTACGGCCTCTGAAACTGGTGATTCTTTATATGACATTTCTAATGCTCAGACAGCCCTGGAATCCAGCATACGTTTAATTTAATTCAAACTCAGTTTATTAATTGCTGATCATCGCTGATCCTAATCTAAAACTTGTATAAACACTTTAATAATGAACAAGACTGTAGATGCACCAATGAGCTCTATACATATATATACCAATATATACCAGAACTTACATTTTAGAAAACAAAATGTCTGTAATGTAACTTTTCCTAAAAAAGCTTATGGTTTGTCTATTAAAAATAAATTGAAAAAAAACATTTCTTAGATAAAATATGAATATAAGTACATTTTTCATCAATTTTCTACTTTCCTGGTTGTCTTTTTCTATTCATCCGTTCAAGACAGTAACAGTCTGAATGATTTGTCTACATAGAATTCATTCATTTTCTTTTAATTAAATCATTTGAATTCCCCTTTATTGTCCATAAATGCATTACTTGAAATTTTTTCTGAGTCTGTTATGCTCTGAGAGTATAAGAGCAATCGGACAATAGAAGTTTCTGAGCCGGGATAATGGCTCTGTGCTCTGCTTGTACAATGAATCCAAAAAACAGTGCAAAGCTCAGTCTGAAAAATGACAGTCACCTCTGATACTCCGTCCTCAGTTCAAGGCCACGCTCAGTGGAGGAGCTGATTGAGTGGGAGTCAGTGTTAATATAATCTCCTCTGTTTAATTAGAGTGAACATGGTGGGCAGCTAAAGCAAACCGCATTACTCACCATCTGTTGGGGAGCATCTATGCACTTAACCACATTCACCATCATCATTAGCCTCTACAAGACAAGATACAAACACATACATGACGGCCATTTGTTCACCCTGTCGCTTCCAATACAGACACAAACACGTACCATTTAGGGAGCTCACTGTCCTGTTGCAAATGCACTCTTCTGTAATCAAACTGACAAATCTGACAAAAATTGTCATCGAGTTGCATACCAAAAACCACAGAACGACCACAAAGCTCTGACTGAACACACTTTTCATCAAGTGTAACCTAAAACGGATAGGAGGGATATATTAAATATATTCAACTTGTAGATGCATTTGCAGAGTAAATAAAAATGTGAATTTGACTAAAAATCTTGAATCTCTTCAGCATATTTTAAATGTAGTTGTTCATCTCCACCACAAGAGGACAGCAGGTTACCACAGCTGACTGCGGGACAGAGAACAGTGCTCTGTGTGTGTGTGTGTGTGTGTGTGTGTGTGTGTGTGTGTGTGTGTGTGTTCTCTCAGCCTATTATAGCTTTACCTCAGCGGTGTTAGTGTTACAGGATTTTCTATGATACCAACAACACACACAACATGCATCCCTTCAGCCATTTCTAAACTTATGTATCTGAAGCACATCTAGATAAAGATGCTTCGACCTGCCCGCAGCTGAGAGATTTTAGGAGGAGGGCTCTTAAATCCCTCTTATACAATGAGGCTTAGTTATTGATCCCATCTCCTTGACAGCTGCATTTGGGATGAGACAGCCAAAATGAAGTGGCTCTCTCTACCTTGCTTGCTGAAACACTCGTGTCCATTTTTCAATTGGTTTAAAACCATCCTTTAAATACATCAGATAGATAAAGTATATACTAAAATATGTTAAGCTGAAGCCATTTATTGATTGTTGAACAGAGAAGCAAATAAATGAATTGTTGGCTTTGTTTTAAGTATTGAATATGCACTTTTTTTCTGTTGAAAAGTTAAAATTGTTGATCTTTGTATTAAATAAGGAACTCTTGAAAGCAGTAGTAATAGGTTAGCACAGTATCACAGTCAAAGCCTTGTTCAAAGGCTGAGGATGAATTCATAACCCGAAGAAATTAAGATAATTTGAATATTTTTCTGCATTGATTATTTGAGCTTTTTTTTTTAATTGAATGAAAAAAGGAGCCCTAAGAAAAAGGTTCAAGGTGAAAAAGAAAAAACGAAATCAAGGTTTAAGCTTTTGCCAAGGTCTCAGACCTTAATTAGCTTGTTAGCGCTGTGTCGTGTCCGTAGCCATTGTTAGAAAAGGTCAGGACATGCAAATTGAAACATTGTGGCATCTCAAACCTTCAACCTAACAATCAGAAGGCACACTATTCTCTAAGCAGCTGTCTAGCACTCCTAAAACTAGAATAATTGATCCCTAAAAAGACGAATGGGATATAACAAACAGTGTTTCATGTTTTTGTTTCCTCAGTTTGCAATGTAATTAGGAAACAGAAGTAAACCTGAAGGGTAAAGATAAATTTGAGAACTAGAAAACCAAGAAAACTCACTTTTTTTTCTTACCTGAAAGGACCTTAAGCAAAATGTAGCAGGCTGTTGGGTGGAGTGTATTGTTATGCTGTCCAGCAAAACTAACCTAAAAATTAATTTAGAATAGATAAACACTATCTGGGATAAATTTGCAAGACATAATTAAAATGTGTTTCCAACTGCACTGCTCAGAGATGCTGATGATAGATGCTGAAGAGGTCATATGAGGACAATTAAAAACAGCAGAAGTTTAACAGAGGATGACTTATACACATGGATAATAATTCTAAATACTTTTCAGAATCCACAGTGGACTGCCTCAAAATGCTGAATGTTGTCTTCGCAGCAAACATCTGTGGAGAGAACTGGGAAGAACTGTGTATTTAAGACAGCTCTTCACTGGTTTTTGAAGATGGGATGTGTAAAAATCTGAGAAGGACTCCATGCTGACTATGGGAATGCCAGAGTTACCAAGACCATATCTGCTTTTTGTTACCTTTGAAATTGTAATGATATTATCATTAGAGTAAACTGTGAATCATATTGTCTTACTCAACAAACACAGAAACCTGTATATTTTCTATGGTGTATTAAAATACAACAACTTTCTATAGGCAGATGGCCTCAGTTTCTTTGTACAAAACTAAGAACTTTTAAATGCAGATTGTGACAGGCATCGTGCATCAAGAGGTATCTGAGCTCATGATAGATGCATGGATGTTTCCACCAAAAAACAAGTAGCCCTTTAACAGCTCTCTGCCCGTCTTGCCCCTGTGACACCGTCAGTGTCTGTTTCTGCTCACAGACAAGACGGCCCAAACACAAGTGGTTCAGTTTTAAGCAGTTTACTCAGGGTTCGATACAAATCTGTCCAGACTATATACCAAAGAAGCTTCTCACTCTTCTTCAGCTCACTTTGAACCTGCAGAGGGATTTTGAAGTGGAAACCAAGAGATCTCATCTGATGTTTAAGGTTTTGACGGTGGACAAAGGCCCGCATACAGATGGCCAACATCAGAGCAGGGTTGATCAAATCTTAACAAACCAAACAAGGACAGAAACAAACTCCCCGTGGCAGGAAGAGAAATGGCTTTCCAAACTAGCCTGCAGCCAGCCTCTTCAAATAAACACATGCAGTTCTTACTGGACCCACCGTTACTGTCGTGGTCACTTTGGAGTCATTTCTGATCAAATGCTGAACATGAGCCAAATTATAATCAAAAACTACCCTTCGCTACACCCCTACTGAGAGCAGATTTTAGAAAATCTTCATCTGATATCTTAAAATGTTCATTTAGCTGAATCAAACATGCCAAACAAGTTGTATTCGAGCCACATTCCTGTTAAATATCAAAGCTCTGCATGTAACTAAGATGCAAAAAGATGTAAAAAAAGAAAATTTGCGGGATATTTTGATCTCATCTATGCAGGGGCTTTTCAACCTCAGAGGGGTACTGTTTTTCCCTTCCCTTTAAAAACATGACCAACCTAATAATTAATGTTCCCCCCCATTTGCTTTTTCATTTCAATTAAGACTTTTTTTTTTCATTGCTCTGATCTCAACTTGACTTAGTATAGGAATAAAAATTGTCTACTGAAACTATAAAGTTAGACACTAAAACTTTCACTTGCGGTTATTTAAAACATAACTTCAATTACTGGACCAAAACAAATAGTTTATCACAATAATGAAGGACTACGAATTGTGCCATACACCAGTATATAAAACCAAAGAACAAACATAAAAACAGCATTAACACTACTAAAGAAAAAATACTTTATGCTAAATCATTGCAAGAAAAGTCAATCGAGTGTATGTATCCGTGTGAAAACAGCTTTTTAGGACAAACAAATTCCACGAGGAGACATCTCACTCGGGAGACATCGAGTTCTTGTGAAAACTGCCAGACAGCAGCTTGTCTCTTCGCTCTCAGGCAAAACAATTCAGCACTAGGCTAATATCATCAAACACTACAAACCTCACAACTCCGGTGATGTGGATTTCAGACGTTGCTTCATCACAGGCGATTTGGGCAGCTGTGTTTCATTTGTCTGATTTCCAAATAATTCCACATGACACCTGTGAGATGAGCCAAATAGATCTGGGTCATTTCTTGGATTCTGTCTTGGCAGTGGGGCGAGGGATTTTTTTTTCTGGCAGTTTCTCCCTTCATCTGGACCGTGGCTTGTTCCACGCCACGAATGAGACATACTTAAATTATTTTATCAAATGTTCTTTTAGCAACAAGGATCTAATTAACCGTCTTTGCAGCAGAAGTTCAATGTGTTGTTCAGGAAATGAGGCTGGCTTTGATCTTCTATCTGATTGAGCCTAAGTCATTTTCCTCTGTATTGAATAAAAAAAACAATCTTTTCCCTTAGATGTTAATTATTTCTTCTGTTGTTGACCTAATAGCCGCTTGCAAGCACTCAACTCTCTTTTCTTAAGTAGTTCGGACAGAAAATTATGTTAGAAAACAAGAAAAACACTTCAAGCGACAGGTAAAGAAATCAGTCCGACAGCAAGTCGTTACAAAGAGAGAAAGTCTCATCTGTCAGCGGTCAGAGCGGGCGAACTTCATTTTGCTCTTGAGTGCTGAGAGACGATAGCTTTGGATTTCAAATGATGGGGATTGACATGATATGAGACTTTTCAACAATCTGCAATAATGACCTTTTTGCAGAACCCACAAACTGTCAGGTAATAACGCGTCTCAGGTCAAAACAGACAATCTTTTGGCACTGGTGAAACGCGTTACCTAGCAACCCCGCAGTGTCCTATCAAACATCAGCTTGGAGGTATCTCTGGAGATGCTCCTCCACCTACAAAGACTTGGTTCAGCTTGCTTCCACAGGCCCCATGACCCCCTGGACAAACAACAGCCTCATTCTCTTCTCCACTGCTGACCTCATTGTCTCTTTGTGAAGGGAAAATCCAGAGTTGCATTCTGTTAAATGGCAAATGGTGCACCAACCGTGAGCAGGACAGACCTCCATGCCTTCAGCGCAGGCCCGCCGATGAACACGGACACTGCCGCCTTTTCTCAGGACTACACGTAAGGAAAACATGGTAAGACCGGGGGAGACGAAAACCCTCACAGCCGCCCGTTCCATCTGTTTAGTGCATTTCTGACATCAACTGCAAGTCTCTCACATTATTTACCACATTCTCACACTCTGTTTACGGGAACAATAGTTTTCCGCACGTGGTTTTCACAGAAAACTCGAATCACATTAGTTTCTGTCTTACACCTAATGTTTAGCAGCTGTGCTGATTTTTAACTCATGCTGAGAGGCCAAAATGGCATATTTGAAAGCATAGCAGTGCTACATGGGAACAGATGTTGTGGTACTTATCTCGATGTATATTGCACAATAACTGTATAATATGAAGTCTTTAACATAAACACTAAATCTCATTTATTGAGAGTGTTATTATAAACGGTGGAAGGCTCTGCATACATTGTGTTTGCAGTAAATTCTTGCGGAGTTGGCTCAACAAATAAGCGTCAATTAGTTCATGATCGCACTCACTGACAGGAACTACACACGTACACATGGATGTTTACATCTCTGACATCTGGACCAATCACATCTGGCTAATGTTCAGGATTATGAAACTCCTCATTAGATTGGAGTCGTATGAGATCTGATATGGCCACTCTGTTTCCCATAGAGTCTTGATGGAGACACATTATCAGTGATAGAAAACCCTGCGGCTGTCAGTCACTCGTTTCGGTCTGAGACAAAACCAGGAGTTGCAGGGACCAAAGGAGTCCAGGGCTGGTTAAAGGGCATTCATTCCACGACTCACGGTAAGCTCCACCACACGTCACAGTCCCACAGAAACATTCTTACTCTGTACTCCATCAGTGTTCATTGTGCAGGGACAAGTACAGAAATTTGTCTTTATGAAAATGACACCATGCAAAGTAGCTTACCGACTTCTTAGTGTCACACATGGACAGAATAGCACATATTAATTTCTGACTGTATGCTTATTGTGTGATTTATCGAACAGCTGACATTTGATAATTCCTCTCAGCACACATCGGGATTCAAGAGGCATTAATTCCAGTATTAACTGTTGCTTTAGCTCACAGACTGGTGAGGCTGCTGGCAGCCGTGTGTGCGGTCGGACTCCTGGGAGGCTTAGTTGTAGGTGTCTGGTTTCTAGGTGAGTCAATGAGTCTCAGAAAGAATCACTAAATCAGCTTAGCCGGAGCCAAGCAGTTGAAACAAATGTCCATAAGGCCTAGCCAGAACTACTCAGGCATCTCTTCAATTTCAGGGAAATACTCATTTAAAGACAATCTAATTCTTTTTTCAGTTTGTGAAAATGTGATGTCTTATACAGCAATTCTGTTTATTTATTTATTTTTCATTTAGTTGGGATAATATTCAGACTTTTGACGCAAAACTCTATATTTACTAAAAAAATAAATATTTATTTTTATATAATCTTTGGCATTATTGGAGACAGACAAAAAGGCCAACTGATATATTTTTTTCTGCATGACAGATGGCCGTTTTTCCATAAGATTATTTTTGATGGAAGCTATTGTATAAGACGAGTTGATGAGAATCAAACATACACAATCAAACACATTCATAACAGTCTTGTCAGTGCTCTCTGGTGGACAAATGAAAAATGTGTTATTACTCACCATATGTCAAGAACATATCTGAACTTTCTTTTAATAATTCTTATTTTGGAGACATGTTAATATACTGCAAATACCCTCTGAGGGCTGACCTAGTTGCCTGGCCAATTTATCCATTTGGCACTACTAATTAAATCTAAATAAATGTGTCTAAATCTTCAGATGATTAATTATTCCTATATTTATTAAAGTAAATCTAACAGGATCCAATGTAATTTGGTACTTGGCAGCCCATTAAAGCAAAACCGACAGTACAATGTGGGATATAAAAAGAAGAATCTGTCATGTTAGGTTCTACAGACTACAAAATGAGGATATTTATCATTTTCAAAGGATTACAGTTTTATTAAAAGAAACGCACCTCTCAGAAGTCCCTCAGCTTTATGGAAGCACAACATTAAATAAAATTTTAGAGAAGAAGATTTTGGAACAGGCACAACCCCATTTAGACAACAAAAAAGTATTGTTTTAATTAGATTAGTCCATCCTCTGTACAGTTAGATTTCATGGCTCCACAGGCATTTATCTGCTCCATGCTAATTTAGATGATCTGATAACATTTGGAAATGTTTTTGTTACCAGTCTTACTGTGTGATTAATAGACCTATTAACAACTACACATCCTTATCTACATTAGTCAAACTTCTGCTAAGGCCATCCACTTCCCAAACTCCAGTAGGACTCGAGGATACAAAGGAAACATCTTTCTGCAATGTGACTGAGGATGTTTCTATCTCTGACCCAAGGAAAGGTCTGTGTCTCTTCCTCTACTCTGTTAATTAGTCAACATAGAACTACTCAGCTTGGTGTCGTGTGATTTATGACACGAGATCTTAAACTATTCAAATATTCAGCAGCTGTTTCTTGCCATCTTTCCTCTCGCTTAAGATTCCCGTCGACTGACATGAAGGCATCATATAATGACCTGTTTGTATTGACTATATTAGCATAGATACCTGTGCTTTTCCAAATCATTGCCCTCTTGTAGAAGAGGTTTGTTCATTAGTGCTGACTGAGAACCTGTCTCTGGAGGGATTTTCAATCAATCAGGTTCAGTGTTTTACAGAATCAGCCAAGAGAACTCTCTCCTGGAGATACAGCTTGACAAGCAGCCTTCGTGGCTGCCGGTGTGCTATGAGAGGTGGAACTCTTCGCTGGGAACACTAGTCTGCAGAGAGCTGGGTTATCTGAGGTGTGTCTGCACTCCTGGCAGGATTACACATACCTCATCAGCTTAAAGCGCTCATCCCCGATCACAACTGAGGCCAGAATGCTGTCTTACTGGGTTTAATTTTAGCCTGTACTGCAAAGGCTCGTCTTATTTATGATGTATTAATACTCCATTTACAATCATGTCTCGCAGTATATGAGCCCAATTCATTCTCCGACCTATTTACATATGTTCTCTTACCAGACTAACCAAGCATAAAGGGGTGAATCTAACTGATATCGGGCCAAACTACACTGACGGCTTTATACAAATCACCTCTGAGCACAAGAGCAATCTGGAAACTATGTGGCAGTTCAGGTGAGGCAATTAATCTGACGACATCATATTAATAATGATGAATGGAAAATTGTGGCTACCAACACATGAATTATGCACCATTAGTAAACTGATTTATTTTCATTTAGGAAGAGCTGTGTCACAGGGAAGGTTATCTCCTTGCAATGTTTTGGTGAGCAATTTCAACTTTTTAAAAAATTTTATAAATAATTTTGCATTTAACTCACGACCTAAACTTTGTTAAACACTGTCAGGGAAGACTGAGCCAAGACATTTCCTGACAAACCTTTCCAACAAATGAATGCATTTCTGTGTAGAGTGTGGAACGAGAGCAAAGCTGCCCAGGATAATAGGGGGAGTTGAGGCTACGCTGGGCAGGTGGCCCTGGCAGGTCAGCCTCTACTACAGCAACCGCCACACCTGCGGAGGCTCCATCATCACCAGTCAATGGATAGTAACAGCTGCCCACTGTGTGCACAAGTAAGAGTGCTGACCTTAGCAGGATTATAGGTCAGAGGTTCAGTCACTGTGGAGGACAACAGTCAGTCATTAACAACTGTTCAACCCCAGATCCTATCCCTCATATCAACATTTACGTTTCTTTCATGAAACGTCAGCTACAGGCTACCTCAGGTGTCCAGCTGGGTGGTCTACGCAGGCATCGTGACCCGCAAAGCTGCTAAAATGTCTCAGCATACAGGATATGCGGTGGACAAAATCATTTACAACAAGAACTACAACCACAGGAGCCACGACAGCGACATAGCTCTGATGAAACTACGAACGCCGCTCAACTTCTCAGGTCTGTCCTTGTGTTACCTTAAACTGTTCTCCAAACTAACAAACAAATATAAATATGAATGTCCTCTGAGGACAGGGAGAGAAACAGACAAAAACACGATTATTCCACATTACATTCAAAATAAATATTTGATATAGTAATTTAATTAAATTCTCTGTTCTGTAACCTGACAGATTTGTTGTGGTAAACAAAAACAAAAACATCATTTCTCACCTCAACTAGATACAATCAGGCCCATCTGCCTGCCTCTGCATGGCTACGACATCCCAGGTGGTACACAGTGCTGGATTTCTGGATGGGGATACACACAGCCTGATGGTGGTAAGATTAAGATGCTGCAGCATTGCTCTAAATCAGATTCCTGCCGCAAGTCCAATTCAAAGATGGTGACTGTGCATGACAATGATATTGACAGAGCAGCCATCTTTGACAGAGCAGTGCATCTGTTCCCTCTCAGTTCACTCACCTGACACTCTGAAAGAGGCGCCAGTTCCTATAATAAGCACAAAGAAATGTAACAGCACCTGCATGTACAATGGAGAGATCACTTCCCGAATGCTCTGCGCCGGCTACACCGAGGGGAAAGTGGATGCATGTCAGGTCAGATGCATCCTTGTAAACTGATTTTGGAGAGGTCTATTAAAGATTCATCTTCTCTTATTAGTTTCCTTTATGCTGGTTTCTGTGTTTATCTCTTAAGGGGGACAGCGGGGGTCCTCTGGTTTGCCAAGATGAGAACACATGGAGACTAGTAGGGGTCGTCAGCTGGGGGACAGGCTGTGCTGAGCCAAATCATCCCGGGGTTTACTCCAAAGTGTCTGAATTTTTGAGATGGATCTATGATGTGGTTGAGGTAGAGACTTTTGTTTAAATGGTACACTGGAATAACAACATATTTGTGAACCGCAAACTAATCATGACAAAATTTGCCAGAATCTAGTAACAACACAAACAAAATTTATTATGTGTAATTTAGAATAAAAACATCCATTGATACATGATTATTTTCTCTTTGCAGAATTATTGATGGCGAAAGAAACAAGAAGTCGATGCTGCTGATATAACCGAGACTTTTGAAATCTATTTATACTGTATATCATGTTTATACTTTAAGTGTCACTTATATAATGTATACATAAAAGCATAGTGGTAATTTTGCAATACCTTTTTACGTTACTTTCCGTGTATCGAGTAAAAAATTGCTTCCTTGAACATCGTTTTGTGCAATTTTTGAGCTGCAGCTGCAGTTTTTCGCCACAAGGTGGCGATTATGCGTTTGTTTTCCATAGTTTCTATAGCAACTAGAAACATTAGGCCAAGCTAGTTTTAGTGTAACGGTAGTTTGACATAATTTTAAGGTCTTAGTTTTTTAATTGTCTGCTAATTAGCTACTGATAGGTTCCAGTTAAAACTGAAATTCACCCTAAGATGTCCAAGGCTGGCAGCACAGAGGATGTTTTACGGCAAGTCAACCAGTTCTGGTCGATGCTGGACGACCTCTCCCAAACAGACCCAGCAGCCTACCGAAAGTTAATCGAGAAACAGATGAAGGAAGGAGCTGAATTCAGAGCACCGCCTGAGCTCCACTCCTGTTTGTGCACTCAAATACTGGTAAGTGCTGGCAAATTTAAAACTCCTCAGTGGTTAACTTCACTTTGGACAAAAGAGAGTCACATTCAGGTAAGCGGTGTATCTCAATAGCAAATGGCCAAATGGTGGCAGATGTTGGGGGGGAAATAGGTCACCATTCAGATTCAGGGACAGTCTCATTGGGAATTAAGGTGTCTGTCCTTTTCCCTAATTAGTCCATTTGTAATTTTTTTATTGGAAGACAAATCAACCAGTACCACAGTATTTATTGTTATTAGAATTATTGTTGTCTATTACATGTGAATTCTTAAAATATTAAATAAGGACAACATTTGATAGTATTCATTTGAAAATATTTCGAAAATAAATCAAATAAAAAAAACAGATGTAAATAGTTTTATATGTTAAAAAGTGCCCCATTGCCAGCAGCTGTGGATATTTTCAATTTTCACTCACTAGAAAGAAAATAAATCAAAAAGTTGTTTTATTTGTGTGAGACTGAGCCCTGTGTGTTTGTTAAAGGGAAAGCTCCTTATAATTAATCTTTGGTTGACTAAGTGGCCCGTTTCAGCTCTGTGAGATGCCTCATAAAAACACCATCCAACTTTTACCTCAATCTGTAAAGCTGTCAGACATGAGTCCATTTATAGCTGTGAAACACGGCGTCTTTAAACAGCCCTTTTGACAGTACGTCTGTGTTTTCATCAGGCACCAAAAAAGGGCTTGCTGTACATTAACATATGCAGCTGGAAACGTGTGCCTGCACCCCAGGATGTTAGCAGCAGCTTACCAGTGTGTGCGGGAAAACTGGAAACAGGCACAAAAGAAAATCAAGGTGGGTCATGAGTAACAACTTTATTTGTGTTTAATGACAAGAAACTCACAGGCTTTCCTCTGCAGGTTGGTATGCCGTGATGGATGTGGCATTAAATCCTGCGGTGCTGCAGGAGAGCAGGGAAGATAAAGCAGACATTAACAATGTCTATTTGCTGGCTTTGAACTTTGCCCAGCAGCAGCATGGGTGGCAGTTATCTCCAGAGTACAGTCTTGTTAACTGCAGCCCAGAGAGCAGCACAGATGACTTACGGCGTCGGCTTGGGCTTCAGATGGGGCCTAACATCTCCGATCAACCAGAAAGGGGTACGGTAAACAAGCTGTCTGCCCACAATAAGATGCATTTTCCTTTTCAGGGAAGGTGCATTATCTGTAACCTCCCACCAGTTTCTCATTCCCCATGTTCCCCTCTTTGTTCAGTTATCCAGAGTCCGGTTGCCCTCCTGCAACAAATCTCCTTCGCTCGATCAGAGAAACAAGACAAAGGCTCTGGGTCCCAAATTACCAGCGCGCCCGTGGAGCACGTTAAAAAAAATTTGATTGAGGTAATCTCCACCACCTCTGTGGAGCCCCAGAGGCCAGAGTACCAACTTGAGGTGAAGACTGATACAGCAGGAGTTCCTCGCAGCGTGGAACTGACAGTGGAGCTGCCAAAGGTCCGCTCTATGTCAGAGTGCCAGCTGAGAGTTTCTAAGGTTAGCGGTTACACACTCCTTTGAACAATTATAATGAACCACTTTAGATCCCAGTGTGTATCAGTGCAAAGCTGGCTGTCATAAGAAAACACATCACTGGTTGATAGCGACTCTCACAGCTTGTACAATTCGGTTTGCCCTGCAGGACGACGTCTTACTGGAAGTGGAGGATGTTTACTATTTACTTCTGCAGCTACCGAAACTTGTCAAGGAGGACAGCGCCTCTGCTGTCTTCAACAAGAAGAAACGAAGACTTTGCTTCAAAGTGGATGTTTTGTGAGCATTTTTATCTTCGTGGGATGAACACGTACACAAAGGTGACCAAGCTCAAAGTAAATAACCAAAACAGATGTGTTATGCAATATGAAATGCATTAAGAGCTCTGCTCACCCTCAGACTCACACGGCAAGCAAAAAACGTGCTGGGTAATGGCTCCTAACAGCAAAATATTTTTAAGTAAGCCAAATGTGTTACAGTGTTCCTGTGCGCCATTTGGTCTCGTATGTTGAGACAAATTTCATTGTTATCCTCCCACTTCCCTCCACAATTAATTGACTTTAATGACAATCTGCATACTCTGTTTACTAATGTGTGGGTGTGGGAGTGGAGGTGTATAATGGCTAGGAGCTGGTGAACAGTGTCATTACCATATACAAGGGGGAATAATTGTCAGCAAAATGATCCATGCAATAATTTATGTTTATTAAAACATTAAAATTGATGCAGAACAACAACATCACTGTTTGGCAATCTGGAACATGTGAAAAATGTTAGTAAATACTTTCATTTCGAGGTGTGCACACCACGCACTGATTACAGCCTTTTTTTTGAGAAACTAACATTCTTTTGTTATTCAGAGATTCAAGTATCACATTAAGACCATTGAATTTTGACTTCATTATGCATTCCATGAACAGAGCAGTTCCCAAATGTAAAGTCAAATCCATGGTATCAAACACTGACTTTGAAAACATGGTTGTGATTCCAAAGATGCAATCTCCATTGGTCCCAGGTTATTATATCATAGTTAGGCTTTCTTTTGGCTTTACACTTATTATGGTGGCTTCCTGATCCAGTGGGAATAACTGAGGCTTGCATCTGAGCTCTGTGGTTTTTGGGGGTTCTACCTCCGCTCTCCATGATCCTCCTCTACCCACGCTACAATCTTCCCCTCCCAGCCAGGCACAACTGCTCCGTCCTGAAACACCTGAACAGCCCACAGAATTTACATATACAACATGCACAACACAAAGTTTAGGATGGAAAAGGAAAACAGCTTTGAATTGATGTTGGAAACATGTTTGAAATGTATTTTCCTCCCACACCTACCTCCTCTTTCACTGTGCCAAACTCAGGGTCAAGGGCCTTGAAGTGGTATCTGAAATTTCCTTGTCTGTCTACAGCGGCCTTGAAATCTCGCAAAGTTACTTCGCCCAGCCTGTAAGCACACACTGTCAGTCATGATCTATACAGTCGAACACAAACAGAAGCTTTTCTCAAATAAGCTTTTGGCTATGAGAGCGCCCATATTAAAGCTCTGGTCCTGCTTCATTTCAGCTCTAACGCAGACGGCAGTCTGTTTAAAAATCATGCACTAGGAGAGAAAATAAACAATAATACAGCCACCGAAGCCTACCGTTAAGTGCATTTTATTTTCACCTTTTCGGGATGTTAATCAGAAAAGGAGTCAGCGAGCGATCTGTGAAGTAGAGCACTTTAGTGGAGATGGCGGCGTCCAATCCTGGGCTGCTGTGTGAGTGTGCTATTTCTGGAGATGTCAAAAACAGGAAACACTGTTTTTAACAATCATTCTGAGATGGCTGGGCTTCACAGCTGGCTATGCCTTGTTTTTACATTGCTCTGTGATTGAAACGGACAATTTGATTTAACAGCCATGACATTGCATAGGATGACAACCACAACAAGGATAATGTTTGTCTCACTTGAGCTTGGTGGCCACGAGTCACGGTCTGTGGAGTTGGCTCTGCGTCCTGGTGATTTAAATTCCTCCTTGAAGAATAAGCACTTAGTCATGCTAAACATTCTGAAAGTACCACGTTTCCTTTTTGTCAAAATCTGTCCGGTAACAGGCATGCTACAGCTTTCTAAATTTGCTAATACACAGTTCATTCTAAGATGCGCACCCCTCTGCCTTGTCTGCGCTGGCTCTCCAGGGAGTGCAGACGATCCATGAGGCTGGCCACACCCTGCTCCAGAGTGTCCAGGGTGTGATGCTGAGGGTCGTGGCCCGAGAAACTGTCCCTCAAACTGCGCAGCGCTTCTCTGACAAGTTGCAGCTCTTCACCCTAAGGTAAACAGCCTTATGGTAGTCACACAGCTTATTACTAACCATCAATCCCCCCAAAAGTTGCAACCCTGTCTAAAATGTACAAAAAAACCCCAGCACACTGCGACTGTCAAATCTCATAAAGCTATGTTTTTCTGAAAAGTTTTGCCCGAGCCGTATATACTTCAACAACACTGTGTTTAGGAACTGACAGTATCTTGTACTATATTTATGTTTTAGAAAAATATAGTAAAGTAGCTTTTCATTTTGAAGTTTGTATATTGTTTTTTTTTTTTTTTGGGGGGGGGGGCGGTATTTTTGCTTGTAAGAGTTTTAACTGTGATTATGTGGATGTGGTTTTAAACTTAGTTTCCACTCTTCACGTGTCTTGTTCAACTAACTGGGATGTATTGATATTGTGTCTTATTTTTGGGACTCTTGATTTAAACTTTTTAAATATTTCTTCACCCCTCCACCCCCATTTCTAAGCACAGCAAGCTTCATTTTAATAAGAAACGTAAATCAACTATACAGATAAAAAGGATACATACTGGTGCACTGTGTTGGAATGAAGGGGGAGATGTTGACACCACTGAGTTGCTGTAGCCACCACTTTCATTCCTAAATGACTGTCAAATTGAAACAGAATATGGTAATAAAGATGAGTGAGACAAATATAAAAAAGGCTCTATGACTGTTGTTAGAATGTGCTGTAAAAAGCCAAACTGTTAATGTAGCTAAAGCAACGTGGGATGGAGCTCATCATGCTCAATAAAAGCTGTATTACTGTCCAAAAACTATCAAAATCACATCAGTGGCTAACACTATTCCACAAGGTGACATGTTTTTTCATTGTAATGAACACTGCAGCACTGTGGCTCATGTTGAGTCATCCTCACATTCACTATTCTACTGCAAAGAAAAAGAACAAGGCTGTAAGAAATCCGTATAAATCTATCGTTGAGAATAACAACCCAAAAATGCTCTATTTCCCTCACTAAAGTTTCCTCAGTGCCAAGTCGCACAAATAAATCTAACTTTCTTTTTAATTAAAGTATCACCAAAATGCACCAATGGTTTAAAAGGATTTGTTTACAGAAGAAAAGTGGGTGCTGTCTTGTGTGAAGTAGTGTGTAAACATGATTTGAAAAAGGCTTTCCAAGCATTGCTCTAGAGATATGTCATTTACATCAAAATGTAGTTTGCGTGCAAATACTTGAAGCATGTCTTGCTCAGTACCCTTCCATGGCAGACTTCATGTGCTTTATGGTGAACCTCGTCGAGCTTTTGCTGCTGTTGCTGCAGCATTCTCTCCTTCCTCCCAATCTGCTGCTATTGTGACAAGAAAAATTCGTGTCATAAAGTCAGCCTGTAGCAGCCAGTGTGTAGCTAAAGGACGCACTGAGGTGTAAATTATAAAAGGTAATACCTCATATTCACTGAGAGCTTTGTTCCTTTCACTCAGCTTCTGTTTCAGCTCTTCCTGCAGGCAAATAAAACACCAGGAATGTGACTGAAAGATCCTGTAATGCTCTCACGTAAACCAGCATCCACAGATCAAACCGGACAAATATTTCATACTTGACATTTCATGTCAAAGTGAAATCATAATTTGTCTCACATTCTCTCCTTCAAACTGATCTTTGGCCATGTTGCACCTCAGTAGTTCCTGCTTTAGCTGCAGAACAGCGTCTTCCTGCACTGCCAGGCGTTGTTGCAGAGCATCCTAATGAGAAAGAAAGGCAGATCAAAGCAGAGAAGACACAAATATAGATCGGCTGCAAACATCTGCCTTACCGGTGGCACCCATTCACTTCTCTTTTTGTTTAGTTTTTTTGGAAACAGCCGAAAGGTGTGTTTTGCATGCATCGACAACAGGGATTTTATCGGTTTATCGGGGTCTTAAATAAAATATTCATTGAATAAATACAAAATCAGTTTAACAGAGTTACCTTGATGGCCTGAATGTGCCGCGTCTCCTGTTTGTGCCTCAGAAGTTCCCTCTAAGAGCCATATGCATAAACAGAAGCATAAGAGAAAGGGTATCTAGTGATTAGGCAGCTCATCTATAAGAATTCTAATTGCATTTACTTACTGTACCTTGAGATCAAGGGCTTCCTCCATGCTTTGGTCCAGACGACTGCGGATTAGAACCTTCAAAGGAAGAGAGAATGCGCAAGATAATTAATGAAAGGAAAAATGTCAGAAAGTATGAGGAGGCAATGGAAATGTGTGACAGCTGGCTAAGAGATCAGAGAGAATCATCTGTTCTCTGCGGCGTCCTTTCTGAGAGAGATGGAGGCTACAAAGATCACCGCAACAGAAGGCCTGACATGGAAACTTCCCACAGCGTGTGCCGCTTTCAAAAGTTAACAGACAGAGCACTGTACTGTACCAGCTGCTGTTCGGCGCTCGCCCGGTTATCTCCAAAGCTCATGGATCCATCCTGGTCCTCCTCGGGGAGGGAGCCATGCAGCAGTAAAGCCTGAGGTCAAAAGCAGAGGGACTGTCAGACCCAAGTCAAGAAACAGTCTTAATGAAAAAAAATGGAGGCTGATATATTTCTGTGTTGCATGTTAGTCTTGTCAAACATGTCTGCATAACAAGTCAGTGAATTTGAAATAATGAAAATTTACAATAAAAAAACGTGTGGATGTGTACACAGACTTACAACATATAAAAATAGGAAGTTGTAGAGTGTGTTGTAGGGGAAAAGATATTTGAGTATCTTCAAAATGCAAAGATCTGTTGAATCATTTTGGGCAGCACTACAAACCCTCCATTCTCATGTTAGAAAGAAATATGTTCAGATGAAGAAAATTGTTTGATAAAGCACGGACAAACTATCTCTTTAAGAAAAGATAGTTAAATGCAAAAATAGAGGTACAGCTTGAAAATATCACTTCTTTTGGTGGTGAATCAAACTTCTCACCCGTGTCAAATCTCCCTTTGAGTTGTTTTTAACCTCTACCGTCTCTGGAATGGAAATACATTTATCGGGGCGTTTCCATACCGGATTGACGATTGTTGAGTGTGTCTGCCAGCGTTACCTGTAGGCGGAACACCATTCTTCTGGCGTCCTGCATCTCCCTCTCCAGCTGCTCCTGGTGGGCATCCAGCTGTTCATCCCAGGACTTCTCTTCCTCCTGCCCATCATGCCCGAGGGAGGGACACAACCCGCAGAGAGATATCTCCTCTGAAACGGAGGGGGGAGAGAGAAAATTAGTTTAAGGAGCCATATTTTTCTTTTCATAGCATCGAACCTTGTTTCACAAGAGTTGACATGCAGCCAACAAACCTGGGACAGATTTCCTCTCTGTGGGCTCGGTATTGTCTTCCCCAGTTTCCCCCTGGTTCTTAGACACATCGGAGATGGGTTCCTCTTTAAGGGTGTCAGTGGACTGGGTGATAACATACTCCTCTTTGGGGGAATGAGCAGGGCTGGCTGAACTGAGACTGAAACAGATGGTTGGAATAGGCAGCAATAAATGTGTTTATAACCTGCCAAATGAACAGCAGTAAATAAACCTGCTACATAAAATAGAAATGTACTCTTTAATAACTCCCAGAGGAACACCAAAATGGAGAATAATTCCATCTGCGCAAGATTTTCAAACCCAATCCACGTTTAACCCATTTAGCCCGTAGAAATACAGACTGTCACAGACACGATGATATGCTAAGCACAATTTTAAAAAAAGATCATAAACAAGCAGATTATAACTTGTTGAGAGCTTGCCCAAGAGGAACAGGAATATTTGCAACCCTATCATTTTCCCCACAGGAAATTCTTCACATATTTTCACCCTGCTTGGTCCAAATTTTTAGAACATAATGCCTGTGTCGGGATAATTCTTTTTCATGAAGCTTGATGCATTTAGCAGGAATTGGTTTTGAAGTTACAGCTACTCCGACACGTGACGCACAGCAATACGTGCAATCCCTGAAAAAGGGTATTCCTTCCCTGGGTGTGTGCATGTAAAAACAGGCCCGTAACAGCAGCAACAGGTCCAAACGAGCTGTGAGCGAAACCATAAAAATGCATCAGAATCCATCACACTGCTCCTGAGGCTAAACAACCGAGAGCAAAGAAATCATTTTTCTTAACTGTGGGGTAAAGCTGTGTTTAGAAACCAAAAAGTGCCCTGAAGGATTCATTTGCACTGTTAAACATGCCCCCCCTCCCTCACCATCTGGAGCAACATTTAGATTACAACCTCTGTACTTTTTACTCTGTATAAGCTACTACAACAAATATATCATTCGACTTTCAAAAGTTCATAGTGGTACTGTAGGGATTAAATGTGCACATATTCCTCTGACGAATTCACAAGCAAGAAGCGATTGAAGGTAGAAGAAAGAACCCATACCATACCAATCAACAAATTAAATACCTATAATAGGAGTAAACTAAAACCCATAAACAGTCTAAGATGTTAAACAGAACTGATCATTTCTGTCATTGTGTACCCTGCAACAGTCGGTCTGAATTGCTTTGTTTTTGTTCATTCTTTGTCTGAGGCATGCCAAACTAGCCACAATTCATTCATTATGAGAAAGTGTCACATGGTGATGTCATGAGCAGCAGCTCAGTCTTGGACTCCAGTGGGAATTTCATAGAGGATGGGAGTTTGAGAAGGACCGTGGGAATGGTCAAATCTGGGATGATCAATACCTTTTTTTGCCCTTAACATGACACTGTTGGTATTCTGCTGCAATGTGTAATAACTATATATTTTGCATGTCGTTTATTTTAAATCCCTGTGTGTCTATTCACCATGACACACATACTTATTTATTAATAATCTGAATTACAAGATTAATCTTTTAGGATTATTACACATATCTTTAGCTTTGTTAATGCAATTGATACTTTATATTTAATTTACTGAATAAGTATACCTAAAGGATTTATATATTATCGCTGTCATCTAAAGTACATCCTGGACTACAATAAAAACCTTTTAGTCGTATAAAGTGTCGTCTGTAGGAGAGAAAAACTGTCTGAACAACTGCACAGTAAGACAACAGGAGTCTGATAAAAAAACAACACACAATTTAACCACTTTAAAACTTTGTGTGTTTTTGTCACCAGAGTTAGCTGACCAGTTCACATTAAACTTGAACTGAGTGTCCCATCACATGGTCCTGTATTTAACCAAAAGTACTTTCTCAGGCAGTTTAAAGAAAAGGCCTCTTGCTAATCCTGTTATTCCACATGACATCATGGCGTATCTTTTATCGAGGGAGCACTTCAGATAAGTTTTGAAAAACGATTTTATAGCTGATGCTAAACTAAAAGAAAGCACGCATAAAAATATGGAGTGTATGGGTTTTATAGAGATTAAGGCAAGCATAGGATTTGCAAAGATGAGCCTTAATATATCGCATCAGCAAAAACAGATCAGCAAAAAGCCAATGAGGACATACATTTACACATTGCAATTACAACTTGCTCATTTTGACTTTACATTTTTCCCTCACATTTGCTTTTTACTCTCAGTAGCTCTTTATCTCTACAAAGACATGGTTACTGCTTTCTATTTAAACAAAGATTTTTTTTCATGAAAAAAAGCATTGGTAATTTTTTATAATAACACTATTAGCTGAGACCTTTAGATAACAAGGAAGATAACAACTTTCCAGCTTAACTTGTCATCTAATGTTGTCCGGTTCAGGACCCACTGGGTTCAAATATCTTATTTAACATAAAATGTATACATCTCCATCAATAATTTAATATTGTAACAACATTACAACTAATGGGGACTTCAATGCAATTATGACTGCTTTAATTTTTAATGCTCTGACTACATTTAGCTGCTAAAAGTTGATAGTAAGATGCCAGGACATGTGCTTGCAATAGAGTACACTCTTACATAATTTGCTTTTGTGGTAAAAAACATGAGCTAGCATACATATGTCAAACTACTAGGATGCTTTTACTTAGCATTTAATATACTGTACACTATTAGCCTATGATGGGAGCCCATGCTGATGTTAATGTGAGAGGGGAGCTGAATAGACTCTTCCCACAATGCAAATTTTCAGTTTTTAGATTGTCAGATAAAATGTAATGCCCTTATTATTCTAATACAACTTCAAACATGAAGTTGTCAACATGGGAGAGCTAGGAAAGGCAGTTAGACAGGGGTTGCTAGGCAATAGCAGCTCAGCTGTTCAGCGAATAATGGGACACACCCACACCTTCCGCATGGTAAAAACCAAACAATAACCCGCACAATTTTGGGTTTTCTAAGTCTTAGAATAACCTTCTTAGAATAACCAGTCTCTGGGATTAAGTTGAATGTACTAATGAAGTTAGATTTCTGAATCTAGGCTCTATGTGTTGTGTCCATCTGCCACTGATGCTCTCATGTATTGTGATAAAAATAGCAGCCGGTATCAGCATAATGATAGATGTTAGCAATAAAAGAGAGCTTCTCTTACCATTTCATCTGTTTAGCCCCCATGCTGGTATTTACAGGCTTAACCTCCCATACAGTCGGAGCCCTGCATCTGGGTGATGCCCTGCTTCTCAGTCAGGACCATAGCCCAAACACAGCCGGAGGTAGCAGGGAGGGGAGCAGCAGCCTCAGCAGTCTCCACGTCACACACTGTGTTCAATCAGAAACAACAACATGCTCAAATCCTCTGCAGTGGCATATTCCTAAAACATAAAGCTCCAAATCCTAATGAAAGCCCCCAAACCCTCTCCCGGAATCATACCAAGGCTCAGTCTGAGCTGGCAGAGAAAATGTAGGGAGGGACAGAGAGGGAAGGAGGATTGGTTCTCAGCTATATCTGTGACTGAATTCTGCCTGGTTTCCCATTGCACTCACCAGCTCCTATTCACGAACACTATGTTTTTTGTTCCTTGCGGACAAGAACTGATGCAGCCCTTGTGCATCTCTTTCACCCTTTATTGTCTGTAGATTTTTAGCATTTATTCCCTCTTCCCTCCCTCCATTCCTTCTGCTCGGCCGCTCTGGCTTTGTATCAGTCCTTCCTTCTATCAGCGAGCGGGGATGTCAGACATGGCTCGTCTGGAGTCAGTTTACCCTCCCCCTTCTTCTTCATTCCTCCTCCCTCGTTCCCCTGCCGCTCTCTCGTTTCACAAGGAGGAGGGAGATTTTCTGCTTCCTTCCTATTTTTCTCTGCTTTTTGTCTGCTATTCATCACTGCAGCTAAAATACAAAGTAACCATTAGATTAAAAAAAAAAAAGTCTATTGAAAATCTGGATTCTTTGAGACACAACCCATTAAAAAGAAGGGATAAAAACACAACCACACAGAAAGGGGAAGTTGGCATTTACTTGAAAACAAAATGTCATTTACAGGATAGAAAAATCAGTCTATAATTACAGATGTGTTACGAAAAAATATCCCCAAAATAAACACAGAAACCTGAAAGACATGTGCTGCTCATGTAAAGCACCCCTCTGAAAGGCTTCTGGGCTGAGCACACTGTCATTAAGCTGTTACAAATGCTTCTGGTGTCATCAACAGATCTGTGAAGCAGCTCTCTGCATGGCAGCTAGCAGTTGTGTCCACAGTAATATGAGCCTTAAATTCAGTATGAGCACCATCAATGTATGCTTCGGTGGTCTACTTTGCTGCATACGCATTAATATGTATGTACCACACCAGACTAATGCGGTAGTTAATATAAGCAGAAAAATGCCACATGCAAAGTTTTTCACCTAATATTAAAGGACGACCATTTCTTTCCTCTTCTTTCATCTAAGAGGAGGTCACAAACCTTAGCTTTTTTGTTCTTATAACAACAGTAAAATGAGCAAATTAACGAAACCTTGGTACGTAAACTAATAACACTGATGTGAACAGTTTAAGAGATTTAGAAAAAGGCTGCAGGAAACCCTTAAGAATTTCAAAGGCACTGATTGTTGCAATCACAATGATTGTTTATGTAAGACACATCTAAATGTGTCCTTTAAGGAAATTTAATCAGAAATATTGTTTTGAGCTCAAACACCTATTTACTAGAATTAGACAACAATTCAAATGTTGTGCTGTCCATTAGAAGAAAAACTCAGTTTGTAAAGAAATAAGATGCTCATCACTTTGACATTTTCAAAATCTTCTGAATACTCTGGTACTTATAAGGTTATTTTTGTTTCTTCAGGTGCAGATTTGTGCTCCTCATAGTATTATTGTTTTTGTTTCTGCTAAAAATTAAATGATAATGACAGACTGAGACTCCAAGCAGGGATATAATAAATATTTGGCTGACTTAATGTGGCTGAGGGAACAGGGGGGGGGAAGCAAAATGTTGGTGTGTGGAGATTTAGGGATTTCTGGATGGTATATAGGAGGAGATTTTGCTGTTCAAAGAGCATAGGGAGTCATTCCACCACTTGGGGAGACAGGAGGTGAGAAGAAAGCTGCTTTGCCACAGGCACAGCATACAGGGAGCCAATTTGTAAATCAAATGAGTTGCTAAAATAGAGCAGATTGTTTGTGTGGTCACAATGGATTCTGATTGCATATTATTGCAGTGTCTGCTATAAAGCAGAAGTTATTAATGCTTCTCATTTTGGTGACCTTCAAACAAATATGTGTGAAACACCACTGAGTTTTGTCCCTGGAAATCACTATGTTTACTTTTATATTTAGTTTTTGTTTGGTACAAAACAATATAACAGCTGCCGTGATGCATGCCATTTCTATTTAAAATGACATCACATAATCAAAGGCCCGGACCCACCTACTCATTAAAAAAATAAATAGATGGTTGTTGAACTTTCTGCATCATCGGGAACAACCTATAACTTTTTGTTAAACTTTTCAGTGAATGAGGACAGAGCAGATCTAGAGGAGAATAACAAAATGATAACTGAGTTTACGTAAGCTCAATGCCAGCCAACGTGGGCATACGCCAAGCAGTGGTGAGAATGAAATTTACAATTTGGGTAAATGCCTTAAAGATCAAAAAGGGATCATATGAAATATGTAAACACTTTCCTGAAGCATGCAAATACACAATGGCATCACAATCCAGCACAGACACAAAAGCAGCTGCTGTGAGTCCCTTTTGGCTTTGAACACATTTATATTCTTGAACTAGTACAAGTGAGATGGTTTCTAAATGTGAGGAGCAAAAAATTAATAAATATTAATATCTTTCTCGGTAGAATAGATTAGAAGTATTGTGTTGATTTAAGTTCATGAAGTTGCAGGTCCTACGTTAACTTCTTGAATGACATAAATAAAGCACGTTCTAATCTATGCAATGTAAAAGGCCACACTATTTTCTGTTCACCACCACACACATTAATGGATGAATAAAAGGCCACTAATGACACTTCAGCCAATGATATGTGGAGCATGTTTGCTCTCTCTCCGCCTGGTCTGAAACCTCAATAATAATTTATTTCAAGAGGGTTAAATTAGCATGAAAAGCATATAATAATTTTTTAAAGCTCAGATCTCTTTTTTTGGGACATTTTCTTTCTTAGGAAATGAGCCAGTTTAGTCATTTAGTGAGAGTATGCACACCCTTGTTATTAAGTTTAAATAAGCTTTGATTACTCAAAGCCACATCTCTCTTTATCACCATAACACGGTAATCACAAAAAGATTAAGCCATTTTTCAACGATTTGGAGCTAAAATATGTTAATGGATATATATTTGTAACCTTTATACATTACAATGGTCGGATTGTCCTCATTACCAATCTACTGGTAACGTTCTAATAAACTATTAAATTCGTATCGGCTTCTTTGAGGCTGTACAGTTAATTTGCATGAACTGTGCGGAACCAGTGAAAACAAAATCAAGCAAAAGTCATGAAAATAAATTAACACAAGCAAGGAAAGGAAGCAACTAAATGTGTTTTGCTCTTGTAACAAAAGTGGGTAACATTAATTGTTTCCTTTTGTGACTGTGACAGCATGAAAATCAATTCCTATTACCATATGACTGAAGCAGATCCAATTTATTTGGCTATATTGCAGTGACTTATCAAAAGAAAGAGAGGACATGCTGTCTTTGGTTCTACATATTTTTCCATATGCCCTTGCTTCAATACACCTGATTCAAAATAAATGGGTCAGCTCTACAGCTATTAAGCTCTGCAGAGGGAAGGGACTTACCCATTCATGTGAATCAGGTGAGCTTAAAATTAAATAAAAAAGGGCAAGACAGAAACCCCAAGTTGCCAGCTGTATCTGCAACCGTATCCTGGTACTCTGACCCACCCTATACCGCTCACTCCCCATCACCGCTGACAATGGGATAAAGGCCTGGTAAATTTATTTTATTCTAATGTTCTATTTCTCTGTCACTTTCCTACTTATTATTATAAAAACCTTCAGTAAAACCATCAAGACAGCCCTCCGATGGGCATGGACAACTGAGGGCTTCCAGCCAAGGTAAGGTACAGGATTTTTAAAAAAGTTTAGAATTGGTAATGATAGCGAACACAGATAACGCATAAAAAATAAAGTCACTGTTTGACTGACATGTCTGCTTGCATTTGCAATGGGCCTAGTTCCAAGTCTCTCTGAGACTCTGTGGCCCATTTTGCCTGAGTCGGTGAGACTGGAGGCAACTCTGCCGGTGTCTTTCTGAAAATGAATGAGGACAGGCAGGTGCCACGAAAAGCCCACCAGCCTTGTGCTCAGTGACTGACAGTTCACAGTGGTGATCATTATTTTATTGCTTCTGAGGGCAGCAGAGCCAGTTTCATACTCTCGTAAATACATAAATCAACTCTATACTGTGAAATAAATACACATTGGACACCTTGTTAAACCCCTAGTTATGTACACGAAAAGGTACAATGAAAATGAGTCTAATCTATAAAAGGACACAAATCATTATGATGGCATGACAGGAATTTCTCCATGTAATCCATCCCTTAGTAACGTGATCATGTTCTTACACAAAGAAATCATCATTTTCTCCGAACAAAAAATATGTATTTGAATATTTGTGGTTAGAAAGAGTCCCCACAAGTTCCTATTATCCTGTTTTGTGTCTCATGTTTTATTCTGGTCTGCTGTTGTTCAGTCTGCCAACACCAGACAAGCATTTCATTGTTATAGCCTGTTAGTGCAGCCCCTCCAAGCAGAGCTAGAACAAGCTAAAGCAGAATAAAGTATCTGGAACACCAGCATTAACACCCCACATCACAGTAACGGTGAATTTAGCTCAGAATTCACAACAATAGCTGTTGGTAGCTTATGATTTGTTGAGTTGTGCATACAAGCACATTAGCAAGCGGCTCAAATGTAAAAGTTGGGCATTAATGTGTAATGTGTTTTGTTTCCCATTTCGCAAAAAACTGATTCCTCAATTGCTTTCTTTGCATTTTAGATCCTAAAATTAAGGAGACAAGTAATTTTACCAAATAAGATGTCCTTGCTAGGAGGCTGTCATTTTACAGCAGCATAAAATCGACACATGACACAGCTGCCTCATTATATTTTCTGACACGTTTTCTTTTGTAACTGTGAGATTCACATGTCATACCGCCTGTACAACAGATACTTAAAGCTCCTCACGTAGGCCTCCACAGCTCTCTCTTCTCTGTCCTCCAGGTGCATTTAGGAAAGTTAGGAGTTAGGAAGTCCTTCAACATGTTTAGTTATATAAATTATTGGGTAACAAGCAGTAAGGAGAAGGAAAAAGTTTAGAGACACAAATTATATAAATGAAATGAGTATAGAAATTGAAATATCATGTTTACCCACCCACTACAATTTTTGTTATACCAAACAGAGTCCATTAGTCCACTTTTTGCTAACATAAATCTTTCACATGTTAGCGAGTTTGGGCTACATATCTATCATATCTACCTACCATGTCTTTCTTACATGACACATCCTCCACAGTCCCTTTTTTCCTGACTCACATAACATGGAAATGTAGAGGCTATGATGAAAAATGTGCCAGAATCCTATGTGTCTTCTCTTCTTTCTGTAACGCAATCCCACTGCGGTGCTTTTGTTCGGCAATTTGATGAAATCTGATGTTTTTCCCCTGATTTTGACAGCTTCATATTAATATCCATGTTTCTTCTCCTACCTGACTATTTTGCTAACTTATCTACTTTCTCATTTCCTGCAACTGCTGTGTGTTGATACTCACATGACTTTCCACTGTGGGACTTATCCCGTATCTCAACCTGAGGAGCATTTCTGCTAAATGTTTCGCTCTCATACAAATTTTAAATCTGAATTAAATCAAACTTTGCTCACACTGAGTTGGGTGATGACCCATACATTTAGACTTTTTACCATTTTCTACTGTTGTCTGTCTCAACATGAAATTGTTCCCATAAAATGCCACTCTTCTTGCCTCCTTCAACTTATGTTTTCAGATAAAACTTTGTTTTTTTTCCCTTCAAGAAATACAGATTTATTTACTCAATTTATTCCTGTCAGTAGCTTCTTAAATTTGAGTACCAAATCCCTATCCTCCTCCACAAAGCCCTGTCTTCTGCAAAACCAGATTTTCCTGTGCCTAAAGCTGTGCCTCACAATATTCAGAATAACTGAAATTAAGATATTTTTTACTCTCCCTTAGGTGCTACTGTTCTCTGCCACGCGCTATACTGACAGTCCTGGCCATATCTTAAACAGAGTAATTTCACTAAAGGAATCCATAATCCAATTAAAAATAGTTCTCCAAGTTTCCACTGCATCATAATCTCTGTATAGTTTCAGCAGAAACAGCAAACACTTTCTCCCTGAATATTGTGCTCCGGGAGATCCTGAGATTGAATTTGAGGCAACGTTTCAGACCTTTTCTAAATTATATAATTTGGTTGTTGATGGGAAAGGGGCTAATTGAATGTAGATTTAGACAGATGCCAGTTTTTGGATACCTTATTATAGAGAAATTTTTGTTTTGAGAGGAGAAAACTGCTACTCCAGTAACATCAACAAAATCGTTAAGGTTGGCAAACTCATTTTAAAACATTGGCCACATCTCTGTCAACAGGGATTGGCCCCGCGACCCAGTTGGGAATAAGTGGTATAGAAAATGGATGGACAGACGTATACGGCTCCTTCCACTAGGGGCCGTTCGTCCAATCAGAATCCCGTTATTTCTCCGTTTCGATGACGTCAGTTGTGCGACACAATTGCAGCGGAAGTACCGGTAGAATGTGTGAGCAGTGTGTTTTGTTCCTGTTGAATGTTATTTCAAATAACTTATTTGTTACTGAGTGGTATAGCCTGCAAACACTGTTCATGTATTGCAAACTTGTTTTTTGAAGTTTTTCGAGTAAAATGCTCGGAGCATATTTGCACATATTTAGAATAGTTGTAAAATAACATTTGGCAGTGGTGCTAACGTGCTGAGCTAAGTGGTAAGCGTTCAAGTTATTGCTTCTCTTATGCATTTAGAAAGTGATATGTGTTGTTTTTATGTTCTGTCAGTTATCCTTTTCTTTTAAAATAATCACCGTTTTTGACTTATTAATGTCTCGTGTCAGGAGTCATCATGTCAAAGCAGCCATTGGGGAAGACGTTGTTGAGGAATGTAATCCGACACACAGATGCCCACAACAAGGTGCGTTATTTCTGCCTTTGTGTACGGAAACAACAAATGTCTTCCTGAATTTGCAAGGTTTTTTTAGGTTGTGTATTTAAGGGAATTTCTGACACAAATAACTTACTGTTCTCGCAATTACACGGGATTAGGAGACCGGAATTACGATTCATCTGACGTTTCTTGCTCTAAAAGTTGGAATAGGGAAAACTGAAATGATAAAAAGGAGAGAGAAAAAACACAACGTCTGCAACTCCATCTAAGCGAAATCTTACAAGACACCCAATGAGCATTACGCCAAGTGCAGTCATGGTTGAACAGTCTTGAGAGGAGGGCTGATGACATTAACACTGGATAGACCATAGTGCATTAGTGGACTGATATGAGCATTTCCAGCTGTGAGCATGATGCTGGAAGAAAGCAGATATTTATGATCCAGTGTTGCTGTTCTTAATAAAATGTTTGAGAACAAATACAATTCCCTATAATCGTATTTTACCTATTTATTTCATGTTGAAGTGGAAAATGTCCAAAAATGAATGTAAATAGATAATATCATTAAATGCATAAGACATTATTTGGTTTCATAGTGTCGTGTGTTTTACCTTCCAAGTTCTGACAGCAGACCTGAGTAAAGAGCTGCTCAGAAGTGGGATGCAAAAGAGCAGATTTGTACCTTTCTAAACAGCTCAGATTTCATAGATACTGGAGATAAACATGCCCCCTATTTTTTTTTTTTTACATATTTGCATCAGATTCAAAGTTGGATTATTTAAAAAATATACAAAATAGCGCATTTTTTTGTTTATTTACCACCACAACATACTCATCACAGACACTGCACTCCAGAGCATGCAGTGGAGTGTGCACAGCAACTTATACTGTATAAGATGAAATAACTTGGTGATAATGATGCCCAGGATGGCGTCTCCTGAGTTGCCCTCGGCTCCAAACACAGTACGGGTTGGGATAGCTGAGGCTGATTTGACAGTAGAGAAGAACGGTGCTGCTCAGCTCCACAGGGCACTCCATACTTAACCAAAGTGACCATTTTCCTTTTTAGCTGACCAGAACTGTGACTCCACCTCTAAAAGATTTAAGCTTTTGTTCGTGTGGCTGTAAGGTACTTTTCTGGGTTAACTTTTCATTTTATTCTGCTATTTTACGTACATATAAAAATGTGTTAAGTAAAGATTTAGGTCTCTGTTAGAAAGTCATGTGTGTAGCAAAGCATTTTTTTTGTGGACCTGATGTTTTTGGTAGCTGTCATCTAGATTCTGGTTTTGGTTGGATATTTATATACACTTTTGGCAGCGTTTGAAGTTGTATTAAAGTAGTTGGATCTATGTCCATAAGGCCATGAGGGGAAACAGTTTCTTTGGATTTATTTTAGCCTTCCTTTTAAAAAATGTTCCTCTGTGAATAAACGTGTGAACTTTGGAGCAGTGGAATCTTTTATGTTTTTTAATGGCGGCCTTCACATTGACCTAAATTCACCTGGACTTAAATGGAGATGCTGATCCAGGCTTCTGGAGCATTCTGGATCCAAAGGAAATTTCCTCTTCTTCTCAATTTTTGTTTTTAACCAAAGTGGATGCCGTTGCACTTGTACTTCCATACATAGGTTTGTACAACTGATCAATTTCACGTCAAAGATTAACATGTGTATGTTTGATCCTTATTATAAAATCTACACTTGGGTTTTTCATCAGTCCAGTGAAGGCTCGTGATCTCAGCTGCTTTCTAAATTCAGTCATGATCACTAAATTATGAAAGCTTGGCAGCACGGAGGACATCCAAAGAAAAATGTATAACAACAATTAATAGATGGGTAAATGTAAAGTGTACATATATAGAATACGTTTCATTCTAACTTCTCTCCACAAAATAAAGCCTCTTTTTGCCAGGTAAAGATATATGTGTATGTACATTTGGAAACACTGCACGTGAACTTGTTGTTTTTCCTTTGCAGATCCAGGAGGAGACGGAGATGTGGAAAATGCGAGGCTGGGAGATCCAAACATCCCATCCCAAACAGTGTCCAGACACAGACACTATGAGGTAAGAGCAGTGAACGTCCCAGTTTAATCTGAGCCATCTAAACACAAGTGGCTCCATTTGAGAGTGTGCGTCTGTCAGTTGGGAGAGCTGTTAGTGGATTTGTGGATAATGGCTGTTTTCCAGAGGGCGAATGCACTGCGATCGAGGGTCTGATCAACTTAGAAGCAGAAACGCAGTCTCCGAGCACGACGACAGGGAAGCTCGATACTGGACCCGCAAACTTTATGAATTTGAGGCCACAGATCCCGACAGGTACACAACACGAACAAATATTTAGTGAGGTTCATTATATATTTGTGCTCTGTTACTGACTCTAGACTGTAATGTAATCATAGGAGATTTATAAACAACAATAAAATGCGCCTGTGTTGTGTTATTGTCACAGATGGGGACACGGTGGCTTCAAGGAACTTTATCCTGAGGAGTTTGAAAGTGATGGGTAAGCAAAAACACACGACTATGTCATAAAAGTGAAAATGAGATACAAAGGAAACTCTGCCTTCTGACAGTTTGTCGGCAAACTGTTTCTATCAAACCAGACTTAAATGGACAATTATTCAACTTTTTAATACTTGGTAGCACCTAATTTAATAGTTGTTATATTATAAGTACACCTTGGGAATTCATGTATCTGTAGTCACCCTTTATCAGATTCCTCTTCTTTTCCTTTTCTAAGCTGATATTACCCCGGTGACCACAGGGAGCAGTTTTTAGGCTTTATAGAAAGCTGGCAACAGTAGGAGGTGGTTGATTTTTCCTCCACTTTGGACCATTCCGTTGTCAGTGCTGAGCTTGAACTATTTTTATGTTAACTTTTTCTGCAGTGAAACAGGCGATGCCAGGAAGAAAATTGGGCGGCACAAATTGAAGAAGTCTGACACTGGCCTTTCAAAGCGATCCAAAAAGTCCTCACGAAAGAAGAAGAAGAAGAAAAAGAAAAAGAAGAGAGCAAATGATGGGAAACGAAGGAAAGATGAGTCATCAAGCAGCGAGTGCAGCAGTGATGAGAGCAGCGCAGAGAAAGACAAGCACAGGAAGAGAAAAAGGACAAAAAGTCGACATAAAAGCAAGAAAAGTGTGAAAACCAGAGCGAGAGATGAGGACAGCAGCTCAGCAGACACTGATGGGGAAAAGAGGGAGAGGCTGTCTCGCAGTCGTAAAAAAAGAAAGCAGGACACGCACAACGACTCAGACTCAGGGCCAGACTCCAGGACGAAGAAAAGGAAAAACTGGAAAGCTGCAGATGAGAGCTCAGATGACAGTATTGCAGACTGAGACGGGGATGTGTACGGACACGCAGCTAATGATCAACAAGGACTACAACAGATTCCTTTGTTCACCTGAGCTGCTCAGAGGATGCTTCGCTCCTGACCAGTGCTGTGTTGTGTTTTGTTGGACATTAACAACCCTGTGCTGTTACTTCTTTGTGCGGGCACTCTGAGGAGCGATATCTCCAGCTCTGCAGCACGGTGTTTAGGAAGAGGGATGGTGTGCTATCCACCACCCGCCACATCAGGAATCCTGTGAGCCCCATGCTATTGATAGATTTTTATCTCCGGCTGACCTCAGACTTTTGTCCAGTAGAGATGACCCTTTTAAAAAATAATTTTTTACATATATGTGTGTGTGTATATATATATACACACATATTTAAGAGAGAGTGAAATTATGCAACTTTCATTTTATTTACATTTGATACTTTTTATAATTTTAAAGATTTGTCATAAATAAAGAATATACATATTTTGCAAGTTCCCTTTCACAGAAACAATTTGTTTAAAGATGTTATATACTTCACAGGTAGTCAAAAAGACCAAAACCACCCTCAGAAGTAAGAGGCTTTTCCAGCACTGATAATACTTTCATTATTTCAGATGGCTTGGTCAAACAGTATGGAGGATGGATGGATCTAGAATAAAGAATTGGCACATATAAGCAGATCTCTTACACTGCAGGTTCACAAAGATAGAAGATGGTGAATGTAATTAAACTGGTTGTAAGCGAGGTTGTTTCTTTTCCAAGTTATGAAGAGGTTAATGAGCCTAAAGTTGCCTGACCTAAAATGGTCAATCTCTTTGCTTTGATTTAATCTATTTCAGTTAAATGTTAGGAAAATAAATACACAGAGCTCTGTAACACTATTATAAATGATCCCCATGAAATCGCAGTCACTGCTGAAAGCGCTGCTCAACGCGCTCTACAATCTCCTCTTTTAATTATTTATGAATGCAGAAATGCTTGAGTCATTAAATTTTTTTCATGGTAAAACAGAAATGACCTTTTTTGAGTGATCTATAAGTGTAAGAGAAATAGACATTCCAGCATGTTTATTTGACTTTTTAGAAACACATTTAGAAAGATTCTCGACCTTAAAGTATTGTAATTGTCAACATAACCACACACAATTGACCCAAAGTAATATTCACCTTCTAGGGAGCCAAAGAACAGAAATGGGATGAAGCCGATTACCTGTAGATAAGTGGGTTAATAATTCATGCTTTAATGCTGTGAAATAACCTCCAGCAGAGAAAACAGCACTTTCCGATAAGAACACTTGCGATTATTTTGTTTAGTCAAGTTGCTTGTCAGAGAAGAAACGAGGTAGCTCCCTCTCTGTGGACAATCTGAGATCAAACACCTCACCACAATCCTGCCTCAGTCAGAGAATTCACTCTATATCAGGCAGAAGATAGACAGTAATAAGCTGCTTTTTAATGATCAAAAGGAATACATTTAGCGGTTTGTCAAAGACCTCTTTTGCTGTTACGCTAAAGGAAGCTCCAAGTAGCTCAGATCAGTTCTGATGAGCAGCAGACAGCCTTCACCTGGAGGGTGTAACTGTTTGTGTTCTTTCAATAAGAACAGGAATTACCACCATACTCATTAATTCAACATTATTCCAACAATATCAAGATCATCTGGTAACAAATCATAAGCCTAGTCAACTGGGAATTTAGACATCCTGATGCTAGAAAACGTGTTGGTAGACGACTTTGGGATGTCTGTGTCGGGGGGGGGGGGGGGGAAAGTGATCTCTACAAGCAGCAGAGAGTGAGAATCCTTCATCTAGTCTGCAGCTAGTCATGTTTTAGAGAGGGAAAGAGGAAATGAAAGATGTGTTAAACTAGTGTTGGAGTTAGCTTTTAATTAAAAACGTTCTCCCACAGTTAAAAGGCATTTGGACCATATAGGCCAAAATTAACGGTTAAGTGTATTTTACAGCTGGATCCGAACTAAGAGCTCATTTAGAATGATGTTGTTGAAACAAAAAAAAAGAAATCGATGTAAAAAGAAATCGATGACGTTTTCACATACAGAGAGCAAGCAACTTGGTGCATTTTGAGAGCTGCTTTGTCTCCTCAAATGTTTTACTGTCAGCAGATTTAGGAGTTTGGCTGCTAGCACAATTAGAAAAATCCTAATTAGGGGTCCAAGTAGAAAGCAGCAGAAGACAAGTTATTTTTTGCCTCAATTACTTTTTTGTAATTATTATTATTCTTTCTCTATAAAGTGTTGCTGTGCAGCAAAAAACCAAATGACCTAAAATCAAGAAATACCCACATTTGGAGCTATGATGCCAAAGTTTACATTTGTACAATCACCTTAAACACTAGGCTTGATGCCAATATTCTTACATACTCTTAAATATAATTGTATGAATCAAACATTTTTCCCCAGCATTCCTTTAATTTAAAACATTTGGATTGTTTTTCTTTGTTTCTTTGTTCCATGTTTAAAACTTATTAAGGTTTCTCAAAAACCAAACAAAGATTGTCAAAAGATAAAGAAATAGCTCAGAATCATCTAAGAACTTGGAGTCTTACAATGGTAAGATTATATTCAAATAATGTTATTTCCTATAGGTTACCACTAGTTTTAGAAGTGGGTGTAGAAGAAGGGGTTCACATCAAGCTCACATAAAAAAATAAAAAACCCAGAATGAACTACATGCCTGATGGAGGTGTCCCACCAAAGAATCTTAAAACAGTTGTGGTATTTTACAAAAACAATATAAAAATAATTTTCCAAATCTTTCCATCTCCAATCTTTTGGTAAAAAAATGCTGTGGCATACAGAGGTAAACACATGTAGAAATCCAAGCTGAAAAAACACGACTCTGGATGTAAAGTTCAACTTATGAATTCAGTAATGCTCGGAACACAAGAGTGTAGGAAGCAAACCTTTGACTGAGACTGTATTAAAGTAGGATGATTTACTTAGCTCTAAGAAACATGCAAAATACAGAAACCAGAAGAGTCAACTGGATTTGAAGGACTTTCTTGTTTAAGAATTGAAATGATCTGATTCTTATATTATACAACAACTGAGTCACAGCAAAGCTGCAACAGTTTGCTGAAAAGAGCTGTGATCCTGCAGACAGCACACCTACACACATAGCACACCATCATGTCCTAAAACGTTTAGGCTGGATGTACACATATTAGTATGCACTGAACTTAAAAATTGAATGTGACAAAAGACAATGTCTCAACCAAGCCAAGACACTTTTTTTGTAGCCATTCAGAACTGCTGATGAAACACTGGGCTCTACACTTTGTGTTTGCTAGTTTGGCTGTCCGATCCAATTTTTAGGGACAGGGTGAAATCTCAGCTTCCTCCTACCAAAGCAGATGTGATCACACAATGCTCGCAGTTTGGAGCAGACGGAAATACTCCCCTTGCAGGAGAAATGGTCTGCACTGCTTTTTTTGTCAGTAAGTGATGCAGAGATTGACTGGGACTCAGACGTTTCAGTGACAGCTGAGAATTGACACCCTGAAGTCTAGTCTGCCTCTTAACTGAGAAAATAACATTAAGGCTGAGTAAATATGAAGCATCTGGATTTAAAAATTGTTGACCATAAAAGTGGGATAGATGACCCATTCTTAAATTCAGTCTTCTCTGTCACTAAATTTGCAAATCTGAGGCTCAAAATGGATTGAAAAATCCAGAAAATTTGTTTTTGTGTGTGTGTACATGTATATTTATATCCATGTTTCTTGTGTAAGCTGCTGATAAGTGGTACTCCATGCCATTGTGACAATAGGGTTGACTTTTTCAAGGCCAGAGATTTTCAAGTCTATAAATGTATGTTATATGCTCTATAAGGAATTGTGATCGTACATTTTTTAAAACAATGATTAAATAGCTGTTTTATATATTCAGGCTCATAAACCAGCAGCAGAGGCTTCCCTGGAGGCGATGTAGATGCTGACTTTTACGGTAAAAACGCATGATTCATTGACGATAAACTGTAAATGCGCAGCTTTTTTTAGCAAAGTAAAAGAAAAAGTCTAACCCAACATTCTTTTCAAAGCCTAAAATATGAAAAACCTCGCTTGACAAATTAAAAAAACTTGAGCTTTAGCGCAGGATACTGCGCATCCTTTCTATTATTAAACAGATATTAATACATCTTGACTTCAGTGTGGACTTAATTGGAAACCTTAATTTGTCTCCTCCCTGTGGAAAGCGTTGGATCCTACAGCCTTGGAAAAAAATTTGAATTCGGCGTGTCCAGCTGGCCCGTCCCTCGTCGTCCCCCATCCCACTTCACTCCGTCACTGCTGTGATGCTCTCACAGAGGCCTTATAAATAGCACTGAGGAATCAAATATTTATCATTTTTATTCATGTGTCCCTCGCTGCAGTGGACACTCCTGCAGCACAAGAAAAAAACACCACTGATACAGTTAACCCACACAAAAAAATTTAATACCCTTTGCGGGGGGATAAATGGTCCAAACTTTGACATACTAAATAGGAAGAGGTGTGATGACACAGGTTTTTAATGTAAAAACTTGCAGCCAACACCCAAATGCTCTGTAAAAAGTCATGTGACATATGACTTACTTACTTACATAGTTAGTACACATACACCAATGTTTTAATATACTTATATTTGTCTTTTTTGTTCGTTGTCTTTTATCTAGACCAGCCAGATACAGTACTGATTAATATACAGTCACATCTGGAACAATACCTATTTAACATCATACAGTTCAACCATCAGAGAGGAATCCATGGCAGGCTTCCAAATCAACCCTCTCTAATGCTAATCTTGGAAATCAGCATTTGAAAACTTTGTTCTTTTTTGAATTACTATCGTTGTATAGACTGGTGGTGATACTTGTCCTCGTATCTCGTGTCTTCTGTGCAAAAGTTTTTTTTTTCTTTGTTAAGTTTTTTTTTTTTTAAAGAACCCAAAGTATGATTGACATAACAGGATACCTGGCTGTTCACTTTACAATTACTGCTTGATGAAGTTTTTTTTTTTTTTCTTCAGTGTTTTTTTTAATAATTAAACAGTCACATCCAAATGCCACACTCCCACTGGTGTGTCACAGATAACAGTGAAAAATTAAAAACTAAAGTAACGCTTCCCATCGTCAGAGTGGGAGGCAATGACAGAGAGGACGGTTTATGACTACAGTGAGCAGCATCCTCCATTCGTACACTTTAAGAATAAGGCACCGCTGCATAAAGAAAGGACATGGCAAACAAACCTCTCTGGGAATATGATGGGGAGGCAGACTGAATGGAGATGGTGCTTTTTCTCCAGCGACCCACAGAAAGTTAGCTTGTGTAAGTTAATGTGCTTGTTTTCATCATCTGCTTGGCGCAGGGACACTGCATTATACAGTATGGCGTGTAGATGTGTGTTTTTTTTCCATGTGTATGTTCTTGAGTGGCTAAACCAGGGTTGTTTTTTTTTTTTTTGGCTACACTGCTTTCCTCACACTGTGCTCTCGAGCATCCACTCGGTGCTGCTGAACGTAACTCTCCTGTTGGCCAGCGGCGATGACTCCACGTTGAGCTGGTTGGTGGACTTGTGCCACCTTGTCCTCGCTCTGCGTGGGTAACTATGACTCTGAAATATGGAGTAGTCTCCACCGTCGAAAGAGAATCTGTGCCTAGTTCGTGCCAGTTCGTTAGGAAGCAACCCCACGCTGGCCAGAGCACTTTTCTTGTCCTTAAGCCTGGGGGCCTCTTTGGTGCCGGCGTTGGGCCCTATGAGGCAGAGGGACATGGTGGATCCTGTCAGGCTGCTGTCTGTCTGAGTGTCCTCGGACGGTGGGCCAGATCGCTGGACATCCATGCTGCTTCTTCTCTTCTTCTTGTCTACTTCTAACGGGAGCTCCACCTCCAGGATGGCAGTAGTAGCCGCCGAGTCCTCCTTTTTCTCGCCGCTCACCCTCAGAACCAGCGCCATGCACTCTTTGGGCACCTGAGCTTCGTGCTGGCCCTCGTCAGACGGCTGCTTGGAGGTGGAGCACTGAAGCTGCTGCTGGCTGCTGTTGGTCTGCGAGTGCCTGCTAGAGCTGACCTTAGCCTTGCTGTCTACCGGGCTGCCGTAGGCCTTGTAACGGATCATCAGAATGATTATGAACACCAGCACGGAGGCAACAATGATGCCACCGATGATGATTATCATGGTGCCTCCGAGGAACTGGCTGTGCATGAAGCGGCACTGGCTGACCTCACTGGCTGTGTGGAACTGCACACAGCCGACCACGCGTGTGGCCGTCAACGACGTGATGCCGTCGTCATAAACTGCCAGCACACAAAGATCGTACTCCCGTCCTGCAGCCAGATCATTGATCAAGAAGTTCTTGTTGGCAGATGGAATCATTCTGTAGAGTAAAAAAAACAAGGCAACGGTGAAGATGTACAGCTTTAATAATGATAATCTCATCCCCCACTTAGCCTGATTTGTAGATTTGAAGATGTATTGAAACACATAAAGTCGCCTACTCTACAAAAAAAAGGCAAGTGGACTTTACTACTTAAATATAAGTCACTTTAAAAGACATACATAAAAATGTCAAAGACATTTTTAGGTAGTAAAAAAGCTTTGAGTCGGCTCTTATGGTCTGTTTTTTTTTCATGAAATGACAAAACAGATTGAACAAGTCAACGAGATAAAAAGGCTTACTGTCTTGAAAAGACACAACACAATGGCTGCAGGCGGCAGGACAAGTGATGCATGTTGTGAACACAGTTTTGATGTGTGATTACCTAAGGTCACAGTCTGTTTGCAACCGGGAGATTACTCTAAATTCACAAGAGAAAGGCATTGTCTTCAGGTCAACATTGCCTTTAATATAATTAGTAGCTTGTTCCTTTTCCCTGAAGGAAGACTTTGATGGTTATCATTTGTAGGTAATAATGTACCACCTAAAGACAAAACAACACTCAGCTCTGTGCTGAAATAGAATGAGAAAATTATACAGGACAGCTACACATTATGTCTGATGAAAGCTTAGAAAAACAAAGAAATTGAAAAAATGTCCACCATTACTTAGCTAAATGACCATGAACACCCTGTAATTTTGGGAATCTGTTCAACGTATTTCATAAAAAAAACATTTACTATATTTATAGAGCTTTAAATTGTACTTTTGAACTCTTTTGTCACAGACTGGCTCATTTTGCATGGACGTGGATGTTCTTAAATTGTCAAAGTAGCTTTTTTAACTTTTCTAGATACTTTTTTCTATAATAACTAAAGACCTTGCCTCAAATTATGCATCATACCCATGAGTAAAAAATACTTACTGCAATTCTCTAAAAAAGACAAATACAAAATCAATTAAAAAATAAAATAAACAAAATAAAAATAAAATAAACATGTTTCAGTACTTTCAGTACTTTTATTTTAATTGTATTATGTTGTAAATACTGTTTCAGACCTCTTATCCTAATTCAGTAAAGAGATTAATAAACAAGTAAAAGGTTGAAATGTGTGTCTCAAAGTTTCCACCAAGCTTTTGTGAAAGTAATCCTTTAAAAAAGTAAACAAACCATAAGAATAAAGAGCATAAAGATAATAATGATTAATAATTAATAATAAAAAGAATAAATAATTAAACTGAATGACTAACTTCTTAGTAAAGCAATATTAATCCTTAAGGTCCATTTCAGGAGTCCAGACTTTGAATACCACAAGATTCTTTCTTTAATGTTGAATTGTTACTGTTAACCTACAATAAGAAAATGATTGGAATACTTCAGACACCGCTACATTAAAGCCTAAACCTTTTTAAGCCCACTTTGTCTTGCAGCCAATTAACGTAGACACTTGCTAATGATACAAACTGTTACAAGCAGTGAAATAGTTAGACCTCATGTTATTGTTTCTGTCATATATACTCTAATGATGCTGCCAAGACCATTTAGTCCTTGTGCTTAATGGACTTAATCAGTTCAGCTGCTTTCAACAAGCCATTCAGCAATAGAAACAGATTCCTTTTCAATGTGAATATCTGAGGTGTACCGCACAGTTTCTTCGTCGCACAGTTGTTTTGATGCGCATAGCCTGACTACATGATTGGAAGTCTGGTTATTTCACTTGTACTTAATCACTTTGCATCTTCAGGAACTGTCGGTCTGCAGTCATGGACCGCTGCGTCATTCAGCAGATGGCAACTCCATATGCTTCACTTTAGCTCACGTCTCTGCTCCATCACCCCTTTTCCGCCCCGTATTCATCCCACTCCCAGCCCGGCTTACCTGTACACCAGAGTGTCATCTGCTGTGCTGTTGTACTGTATCTGGTACATCCTGATGCCGGGGATGTGGCGCTCGGACGGCCAGCGGATCACTGCGGAGGAGGAGGTCAGTTCCGTCACCATAACTCTCCTGTCCTGCTTGTCGTAGCCTTTCGTGTCATTGCCAGACTTGGAGGAAGTGGTGATGTCCGAGAGGCCGGGGTCCTCCCGCATGTGGCCTGTGTTGTTGATGTACAACGGCAAGGGGATGATATTGATCTCAACGGCAGCTGTGGCAATGCCTGCGGCGTTGGACGCCACACAGTTAAAGGCCCCGCTGTCCTTCAGTGTGGTGATGAGGATATCAAGCGTGCCATTGTCATACAGGATGGTACGGGAGTTATTATGTACCAGCTTGCCGTCTGGTGACCGCCAGTGGATATCTGGATCTGGATCACCAATTGCCTTACATTTAAGTGTCACGCCTTGACCTTCCATCACGTAGGGCTTAGTGGAAATGTTCTTAGTGATCAGTGGGGGATCACAGAGAAACTCGTCCTCTTGGATAGACCAAAAGTATTTGTCCATGAGAGGATCTGGTGAAGCACAGGTTTCCAAATCATCTTCTCTTGTAAGCCTGCGCAGCCAGAGCAGCTCACAGTTACAGTGAAGAGGGTTTCCACCGAAACTGACGGCCAGAGTGGATGAGCTGGAGCCCTTGGCATCGGACAGGACCTGAGCGTGCTGGAACAGGCTGTCTGGCGGCAGTTTCTGCAGCCTGTTTGAGGTCATGTCCAGGCGGACCAGCTTAGTGAGCATGGTAAAAGTTCCTGCTTCAATGTGGTCGATTAGGTTGTGGTCCAGGGTGAGAGTGTTAATGTTGGTCATTCTGGCTATAGCTTCCCACGGAAGGCTGCGCAGGTTGTTGCTGGAAAGATCCAAGTCCTCGATAGTGGAAACAAACTCATCAAAGGAGGTGGAGGCCACCTGGTGGATCTGGTTGTTTCCAAGGATGAGGTGCCTCAGGTTGATGAGGCCTTTGAAGTGATCGCTCTTTATCACACTGAGGCGGTTGCCATCCATGTGGAGAGCCCGCAGGGAACGAAGGCCGAGGAACGCATGAGGGACAATCTGGCTGATGGTGTTGCGGGACAACGTGAGGTGAACCAAGCTGGTCATATTGAAGAAGTCTTTCTTACGTATGATGGTGATGAAGTTGTCGGTGAGACGAAGCTCGACAGTCTTGCGGTCGATGGTCGGGGGCACGAATAGCAAGCCGGTCTTAGCGCAGAGCAACGTCAGAGTGGGTGAGAGGTGCTGGCAGATGCACCGGCCAGGGCAGCTGTATCCCTTCACCAGAGCTGCACACAGCAGCACGCAGAGAACCAGCCGGTCCATTGTCAGTTCGTTTCCAGGTTCTGCGTGCGAGACAGACAGAGATAAATAAGAGAGAAGATGAGTAAAGGGAAACGAGCCTGCTGCAAACATCCTGGTTCTGACCAAGATTGCTGAAACAGCCACATGAGGCATCAATCAGAAAATGAAATAGAGCTTTGCTGAAAAAAATGGCACCTGGGATGATGAAAGGCAGCACCAACACTCAAAGAAGCCCATGTCTCTGCAGCCTTTTAATGGAAATAACAGAATGTTTTTTATGTCACCAGGATGCATCACCACCGGAACATGTAATAGCTTAAATGATCACTGATACAGTTTTTTTCTATTTTAAGCAATCATGCAGTGCACATTCCCATCCTATAACAAAGCTTGTGTGTTTTTCTTGCTCTGAATTTCACATCAGGGTGGAGAATTAAAGCCTGAAAAGGGCACTTGTCAAACAGAGCTTGAGGATTTTCATAACCTTTTCAGCCTGTGCTTCTGCGATGAACTGCAAAATTAGATAGAAACCTGTCACATAAATCACAACCTCAAAGAGGTGAAAACAGTGAAAATACATCTAGTTTTGAACCCATCCAGCGGAGGCATTATTGGATGATTCTTGGATTTTCCAAATTGTCTGATTCCCCGATTACTATTTAGAGGTATTGATTTCAGCCTCTGAAAGAACATGCCTGTGGTGACAGGGGAAAAAAAGCGTTCCTTGGCTTGTAATAACCATAAGACACCCTGGTGGAACATCAACAGTCATGTGCTGATTTCATATTGCCAGTTGTTCAAACCTCTTTGGCATCGGTCTTAGCTCCTGAAGCCCTGAGCTTTACTGCTGATGTGCGAGCCTGTCAATGCTGATTACGTAGAGAGATGATAACCCACTTTTCTCCTCTAGGTTTAGAGATTGACATAAAAGGTTCATGCAGACCACCGTTCCTTTCAGTCCTAAAAAGGCGAGTCTTTTTCTTCTCTGCAACAACAAAAGTGTCCGTCAGCAATGCCTCTTTTCTATGGGGTCAGAACAATTATTATCACTGGTTCCTTTAGAGCTGGTAGTGCATGTAACAAATATACTGCCGCTTCCTGTTTTTGTGATGTTTTATCCAATTTGTCATGACTAATTTTAGAGCTCCTTTATTTATGTTCCACCATATAAAGGTGGTGCTGATTTCCTTAGCATCGCTCATTTATGCGCCTATTGTACCCTAAGCAAATGTATCACATGCTACCAACAGCAATGAATCAAAATTTAATCCTAAAATTCCTGCGGCAAGATTCACAAAACATTTTAAATGCCACCCCATAAATTTAATTGAAATTAATTAAGTACCAGCCAGTTGTCATTCTCCAAGATTCACCATATTCATATGCTTTTATAAACAATCCTTTTAATCACTCCCTATATTTTCAAAACTTTACGAAGTGATTTCGGCCCTTGTTATGCGTGTTCATAACGCTGAGAGGCATGTAAGACAGCTTGAGTGCATTGCTGTCATTTTGCATTGACCCATGGTGTATTTGCCAGACTGCATTTTAAAATCTCAGTTGCTTTTCTTTTCACACTTTTGCTCAGACACAAAAGGGAGAAACACAATCATGCACACACAGATGCCTTGCTGGCAATTGCCTGACAGACAACAGAGCATCTTGTTAGCTGTGAAATAGTTCTATCCAATCAGAGTTCTAATTAAAATCTGGGTTGGTATGATGTCATTATCTGAGGGCAGTAGAACAGCTTGAAACCCAAATTCAAACCAGTGGGACAGTTAATCAAAGACTGCTGATCAAATTTACTGAAAACAGCCAGTAATGATTGTACCTTACACTCTATTTCTCTTGGCACTAGGTTGTATTTAAAAGAGACACTGAACCCAGACCTTAGATTGCTTTGTTTTTGTACTCTTTTTGTGGATGTGCAGACAGAGCTGCAACTTCTAACTCCAAGACTGATCCACTTCCACTGGAATACAAATTGTAAACATCATTGTTTTGTGCCACGAGTCAAAAAATGACAAAAAAATGACCCAACAAATAGTTGGTGACAGCAATGCACATCATACTCTCTTTGTGTCATATCCCTTCATGAAAGCCAGTTGCACATGTTGAAGTTTCAGGAGAGAGGCGACCTTGCTTGGTGGTGTTAGTATTCAGATGTTAACTAGGACACAAAGCTCTTGGTTTCTCTAAGGACCGTATGTGCCAGAGCACTTCCTGCCACACCGTCGAGGATACTCTATTGATCTTTCAGCTTCTCAGGGAGGGGAAAAAACTTTGTTGCCACGGCAACTCTGGTGTAAAATGTAGGTCTTTGAATTGCATTAAGATGGAGTTGAGCTGCTTTGAAAAGCGGGGCTTCAGTCTTAGAAGTGCAAAGAAAGTAAAAGGGGGATGTGAATAGATGTATCAGTGAAATTAAATGAAAAGGGCAGCTCTACCTCACATTTGGTTTATTGCTTAATAGAAGTGTGGGGCACAGAATCGATACATGGACGCCAACACAGAGCACAGGGTAAATTGAAGATTAAAGATCTTTCTATACAGGTGAAAAAAAATCTATTAACACCTCCTAACACCTGGCTTATGACTGTAATGGCAAAGTGTTTAATAGCCATTTAGTCATGTGTCAAATTACTCAGCAAAGTCATAGCTTTTCATTGGCTCTCGGCACAGCACTAATGGGAACACGACATCTAGGTGTAAACATAGGTTTTTGTTGTCTAGGCCACAAATATGAGCAGAGCTTGAATATTCCAGACAAAAACATCTTTCCAGACCATCCTTTCACATGGAAGTTTAGAAAATCACATAAATATAGAGATTTCTTTAGAAGAGATTGCTGGACATTGCCGTCTGCATAACAGGCTGCTGTTGTCCATGAATAACAAACTAGCATAACTAATTCAGATAACTATGATTATAAGATACTCTGGGTCAACATAGCCTGAAGGATGACATCTCTTTATACTGACAAAGTAATGCCTGTCCACTAGAAGGCAGATACCAATCATAGCTCTCAGAGCCCTGAGGCTGAAAAGACTATTACTAGCAGGTGCATCTGCCTTTAAAATCCAATTTAAGCATGTTTCTTTCCTATCTTGTGAGCCCGGAAAGTCAACTTGTCATACACAATCCACTTCATTCTAGCACAGCCATAATCCAAATAACAAACAAAATTCTGTATTGCTCTGATTCATACATCTGTTCGTTCAGAGCTATTTGAAAATAGTTGTTTAGCTACAGAAACCCAAAAGGATAAAATCTCTTACAGGACCAGACTCAATATATAACTGGGAAGATACAAAAGCTCGTCTTGACCTACTACCTGTTGTAAAATTTCATATGGACAGCCTATCACAAGTGAATTTTCAGCGGATTATTCTGAGGTGCAGAGAGACAGACGAAAGGCTGTATGATTTGGTCTTAAAAGTAGGCTGGTCCTGAATTCTTCTGTGATGCATGTCAGACACTGACAGGGTGTGCTGGCTTTGACTGAGGTGTGATCTGTGTACAGCTCAAGCCATGCTGACACCAGACCAGTGCTGAAGTGTGGGGCAGTTGTCAAAAGTGCTGCACCTTTCCATGCTATTCCAGTTTGAAATATTTCTACTGAAGATTCTTTCCCACTGCTCTTGTACATAAGTGAAAAAATACTTGGTAGGGGAACTTAATCATCTTAGATTTCCATAGTCATTTCACCTGTTCATAGAAGGATATCTAAGACAAATGAGCATGTTCCTTAAATAATAATAGAATAAGATACAAAAGGCTAAAGTATTTCATGTAATGTTCGAGGGGTGGGGAAACTTACAGAGACATTTCAAATTCTGAGATTTTATTTTTTGGAAAAAAATATGGTTGTCAGTGGTCAAACTAACACTAAAATCACAGATGACCTAAAGTTACTGAGTTGCTACAGAGACTAAATCTTGCAAATTATCAATAAGATTTCTGTGACCTACAAGAATACTACTTTACTTTTTTGTGATCTCAATATCAAAAAGCACTTTTCTTGTCTTACATTGCATATTCCTGTCTACCTTAACTCTATCTCTTTAACCCATCTCTTTAAACCTTAATGTTGAAATGCCCAGTCTACAGCGAGTGGTCAAACACCACACAATGCAAAACAGCTACTCTTTCTTTGAGCTGTGCCAAACTTGCTGCGAGGTATGCATTATGCAAATGTCTTTCATGGCAATGTTAAAGAGAGGAAGAAAAGCCTGGACTACAAATGAGGCATTCCAAGCAGTTCAGGAGCTGTGTCCTCTGTGGTTTGTTCACAGTCATAATCTTAAAGGGTCAAAGTGAGGCTAGCTTGGAATCTTTACTGGTCTTCAAATTCAGCAGCTTCTAAGTAAGGTGAAAATGTAATAAATGCAAGATTTTTACAAAAAGAGAACTAAAATGTTTGCATGCTATTATATATGAAAAATCAAATAATTTGACATTCAAGTGTGAGAAGCACATTTAATCTTTATATTATCTATATCTTATATATAAGATTAATTTAAATATCAAATTCCTTCCTATGTGGATATACAGTACATTAAATGGCATCCAATTTAAGTTACAAGAAAAGTTGCCTTTCCATAGTTTTTCGCAAACTTTTCCTTCATAATTGAGTCTGCAAATGTACATGAGATGAAAAAAAACAAAGCTAAGAAACTCTCCCTTTGGACAGCAATGACTGATGAGTCATCTGCATTGAGTTGGAGTGGGTGGATAAACAAGCACAGATAAAATAACTTCACTTAAATGCTGGAGGGTGTGTGAGAAAACCAGCTGCTTTGTTCACGGCATTGGGGCTCATGATAATGAAAGTGATGAAAGAAAAAAGTGATCAAGAATCAGGTTGTCAGATGTGTCCTTCAGGATTTTGTTGTTGTATCAACAAACGTTTATCCATGAATTTGTCCCAATTAATCTAAAGGCAATATTCGTTAAGTCTTCTGACTATATTTGTACCTCTCTACTCTTATCCCTTACCTGAATTAGCACAGGTTTTGTCCCTC